TGAAGGACATTATACAAGACTATGGTAAAGTTTCAGGTTTTAGACTGAATCCAAAAAAGACTAAAATGATAGCTAAAAATATGACACAAGATCGTAAACATGAGCTTGAAAGGAGGGCAGGTTTTGAGACTGTACCTAAGGTAAAATATCTAGGAGTTCAGGTTGCAGAATCAAACATGAAATTGTTTCAAAATAACTATGAGGTGTTGTGGCGAGAGGTGCAGAAAGACATGGAGACTTGGAAAAAACTGCAGCTGTCTCTACTTGGAAGAATAGCGGCAGTTAAGATGAACATTTTGCCAAGATTTCTTTTTTTGTTTCAAATGATTCCGGTGCTTAAAAGCGATAAACAATTGAAAGTTTGGCAAACTGGACTCAATAAGTTTGTTTGGAACGAGAAAAAGCCGAGAGTGAAATTGAAAATTATGCAAGATGTTCCAGAAAGAGGAGGTCTTAAACTTCCAAACCTACAGTATATATTATGATGCAGCAGCTTTAACTTTAACAAGTGATTGGTTTGGAAGTAAAAAGGCTGGAATATTGAATGCAGAAAGTTTTGATCTTGAATTTGGATGGCATGCCTACTTATTTTATGATGACAAAGTTGACAAAGTATTTAAAAGTCATATACTTAGAGACTCTTTGATGAGAGTTTGGAAGAAGCATCGACTCAAATGGGATTATAAAATACCGCTATGGCTGGATCTTGGTCATACTTTGTGGAATACAAATATAATGTCACTCGGGGGGTTTTTATACAAAGAGGTTCTTTTTACAGATGCGGGCAGATGGCAGCTGAAGACATTGCAGACACTGTTGGACGAAGGGATTAATTTAACTTGGTTACAATATAATCAATTACAATTGAGATGGAAAGAGGACCAAAAAACTGGTATTATGTTGCACGAGGAAGAATTGGTTAGACATATAAGAGAGAAAGGTCCAATGCATATCAAAAGGCTTTATAATGTTTTGCTAGAAAGGGACTCAGAAACTGAATTAGTTAAAGACTGTATGATTAAGTGGGCACAAAATTTTGAAGAACCAGTGATGTTGGAAACATGGGAAAAAATGTGGGTTCAGAATGTTAAATTTACACAGTCGCAGAACCTGAGGGAAAATTTCTATAAAATGTTTTATAGATGGCATTTAGATCCCAAAAAGTTGTCATGTATGTACCCTAATGTCCAGCCAAAATGTTGGAGATGTGAATGTTTGGATGCTACGTATTATCATGTTTGGTGGACCTGTAGGAAAGTTAAGGCTTTTTGGATAAAAATTTGGTGGGTCATGCAGAATGTTTTGAAGAAAAAAATTCAATTTTCTCCACAACTGTTTTTATTGGGTATAGTTAAGGGTTTTACATTGGGTGAAACAAAACTGATATTGTATATGATAACAGCAGCAAGATTGTTGATAGGTAAATACTGGAAGAATGAAGCTTTGCCCACTATCGAGGAATGGACTTTGAAGATGGCCAGTTTTGCAGAGATGGCGAAGATTTCAGCATACTTAAAAGATTGTTCACAAGAGACTTATGAATGGGAATGGAAAAGGTGGATAGAATATGTTCAGAACAAATATCAAACTAGAAAGTATCAAATAGCTTTTATTTGAAAATAATGTATTAGAAATATTTTACTGTAATGAGGTAAAGAGAAAAATTATACAGGGAGGGAGGGGTTCAAGTTTACATATAAGTGTTATATTAAGGGTTTTTTTTTGTTGTGTTTTCTTTTTACCAGTTATGAGTATATTATAGGGAAGTCTGGGGGGAGGGGAGGGTTAGGGAGGGTTAGGGAGGATGGGAAGTTGGGGGGGGAGGTGGGGGGGGAAAAAGGGGTGAAAATGTAATTGTAAAACTTTTGCAATAAAAAAAAAAACCTCCAGTGACGAAGCCCCCACAACTTCTGGTGGCAAGCTGTTCCACTGGTTAATAGTTCTCATAGCTAGGAAGGTTCTCCTTAATTCCAGGTTCCTTCTCTCCTTGATCAGTTTCCATCCATTGTTTCTTGTCCTGCCTTCTGGTGCTTTGGTGAATAGATTGACCCCTTCTTCTTTTTGGCAGTCCCTCAAATATTGGAATACCGCTATCCTGTCATCCTTAGTCCTTCTTTTCATTAGATTAGAACAGGGGTCAGCAACCTGCAGCTCTGGAGCCGCATGTGGCTCTTTCATCCCTCTGCTGCGAGTCCCTGTCGCTGGTCGGCTCCACAATTGATAGGGCTTTTGGTTAGAACAGGTAGAGGAAAAAGGACGCCACGCTAGGAGGAGACTCTATGGTAGGGGAACCGGACTTCTGGTCAGCTCCAGAACTGAATGGGGGGCTTGCGCTTATGACCTTTGTGGCTCTTTGAATGTGTAAGGTTGCTGACCCCTGGATTAGACACAGCCAATTCCTCCAACCATTCTTCATAGGTGTTATTTCAAGCCAACTAAGTTGCCTCCTGATTCCAACAATCCACCAGGAGCTCCATGAAACACCTTGCTAGATTGCTAAGAAGACCCCTCAAGACACTCAGGAACCCCCTCTTGACTGCCAGGGATGGGCAAACGTAACAGCCCAGATCACACGCCATGGCAGCCTGCTTCATGTTTGCCTACCTGGTCAATATTTAATCAAGAGGTTTACGATACTCTACTTTTGTGTATTTATTGTATTGGAACAGTACAATCCCTTCCACTGATTGCTGTGAAGGAATAGAATCAAGATCACATGAGGAATTAATACCAGTTTTATAATGCCTTGGTAAGGGCACACGTGAAATCCTGCATCCGGTCTTGGTTGCCACCATGTAAAAAAGATGTTGAGATGCTGGAAAGAGTGCAGAGAAGAGCAACAAAGAGGATTAGGGGGCTGGAGGCTAAAACATATAAAGAACAGTTGCAGGAGTTGGGTATGGCCAGTCTAGAGAAAAGAAGGACCAGGGGGGACATGATAGCAGTCTTCCAATATCTCAGGGGCTGCCCCAAAGAAGAGGAGTCAAGCTATTCTCCAAAGCACCTGAGGGTAGGAAAAGAAGCAATGGGTGGAAACTAATCAAGGAGAGAAGCAACCTGGAACTAAGGAGAAATTTCCTCACAGTGAGAACAATTAATCAGTGGAACAACTTGCCTTCAGAGGTTGTGGGGGCTCCAACACTGGAAGTTTTTAAGAAGAGATTGGATTTAACCATTTTAGATACTCGGACAGCCACTTGTCTGAAATGATTCCTGCCTAAGCAGGGGGTTGGACCTGAAGACCTTCCAACTCTGTTATTCTGTTCTGTTCTAATATTTATACACATATGTGGCAAAGCACCAGGAATCCAGCACAACACAAGGAGATTTTATTCAATTATTTAAAGGTTTGAGGACTCTGCATGCTTGTGTCTGAAAAGCAGCAGGTTGCACTTAAATAACAAATAAAGCCACAAAAGAAAGAGTAATACAAGGCAACAAGGCATCATCCCATTGGCCAATCCAGAGCCTTTGGCAATGACAAGATTCTCTCCAACTTTGTACACAGTACAATGTCCACAGTGACTGGGTTTCAGATTGTTGACTATAGAAATTCTGGTTAGCAATTGATAGCTCTCGTTTTCTCCCTTTCTCTGCTGAATTTGCTGAGAGGCCCTTGAAAATCAACTAAGAAATTCACCTCGACAGCCAGAATTCCCCATGGCTGGCTGGGGAATTCTAGGAGCTGAAGTCCACAAGTCTTAAAATTGCCACGTTTAGAGACCCTGACTTAACTAATCACTTAGCTACGGGAGAGCTGGAATTGCAGTCATTGAGCGAGATGGACAGGTGGAGACCTTGCTTAATGACCACAAGGACTTACTTCTTGGCTCAGTTGTGGCTGTAAATCAAGGAGTACCTGTATTGTTACTTGAAGGCCAACCAAGAAGTTCCCTGCATCTTATGGAGAGAAAATTCATACGCTTTCTCTGCACAGAATGTTCTCCCTTAATCTCACACTACTTAACTCCAATGGCATTCTGGCTCCTCTGCTTTGCCAGACCAAATAGTCATTTGACAGGAAAATTTAATCTGAATTCCTCCCTGAAAGAGCAGAAGACTCCAAGCTAAGTGGCCCTCAAAGATTCATGACCCCCTAAGAAACAGAAAGAGGAATAACAGAACAAGAGTGTTGGGAGGTACCTTGGAGGTCTTCTAGTCCCACCCCCTGCTCAAGCAGGAGATCCTATACCATTCCAGCCAAGTGGCTGTCCAGTCCCTTCTAAAAACCCTCCAGTGATGGAGCACCTACAACTTCTGGAGGCAAGCTATTCTATTGGTTGTTCTCTCAGATAGGAAATTTCTCCTTAGTTCCAGGTTGCTTCTCTCCTTTATGAGTTTGCTTCTTGTCCTGCCTTCAGGTGCTTTGGAGAACAGGTTGACCCCACTCTTCTTTGGGGCAGCCCCTCAAATATTGCAAGGCTGCTATCATGTCCCTTCCCCTAGTCCTTTTCATTAAATTAGGCATACCCAATTCCTGCAAAACATCTTTATGTTTTAGCCTCATTTAGTCACCCAATTATCTTTGTTGCTCTTTGAATTCTTTCTAGAATCTCAACATTTTGGATATACTGTAGGACACCATTCTCTCTCCAAAACCACTATCCTGGTCATCCAGGATGCCCAGAAAATGTAGCTGCCCACTCATGTTGACTTTGGAGGTGTGAGCCTGATTGAATCTTGTAAAAGCTTCATATTGCTGTTTGCGCACAGATAACGATGATGTCCTGATATGGAAAGCATTTGGCCTCTGCCAAGGAAGACTTATGTTCCTCTCCAGACGGTCACTTAATAGGCAGAAATAGGTGAGATCCTGTAGGATGTGAGTTATGTAACGTGTCCTCTCCCCCACTGTCAGCACCCAGAAGCAAGGAGGAAACAACCAATGGGAGATTTGTAACCTGGTCTTGATTGGTCTCCAGCAGAGGCTCTGCACCTTCCCATTGGCTGGCTGAGTTCTCTGAAGGAGGAGCCACCCCATTAGGAAAGAAGTTAAAACTGTCCAAAACAGAAGAATGCCAATATTTTTGAGAAATTGCAGTTTGAAGAGGAGCAGCTGTGAAATTCACCCACATCTGGTTGACCAGGTGAGATACCCCAGGTAAGTTAAACTATGGAATGAATGACTAAGACCAGAGCCACCTGCCTTCTCTACCTTGATCAGAGGGTCTCCACCTTGATGGATGTATTTGCAAAATGCTTTTCATCTGGCTGGGAGTTGACGGAAAACATTTTAAGAGTTTTGAGTGCGTTTGTGTATGCCTTAGTAGGCAGAAGGCCATGAATTTTTATCCTGCCATAGGCATGAAAGCCAACTTGGTTAGGGGTCTCTAACCTTGGCAACTTGAAGACTTGTGGACTTCAACCCCCAGAATCCCTCAGCCACTTCTAAGTTTGCTGTAACCCAGGGATGTCCAACCTTGCAACTTTAAGACTTGTGGGCTTCAACTGGCTAAGGAATTCTGGGAGCTGAAGTCCACAAGTCTTCAAGTTGCCAAGGTTTGAGACCCCTGAACTACATGACCTGTCACTCTCCCTCAGCTCTAAAAAGAAGATCGGGGCAAAACACTTCCAAAAATGTTGCCATAATATTTCTGTGTAGTCATAATTAAACTGGATTAGATATCGTCTCTAGGAATTTCTAAGATACTTCTGCCAATAACTATGCTAGAAATTCAGAAGCATGGCCCCCTGACCCAGCATCCCAAAAAGCTGGACAGAGGAAATCTGTTTTGGATGCTTAGAAGGTTAATATTTGCCCAAGATTATCCTGCTCCAATCCTCTGTCACGACAAGATCTGCCTCCTGCAATTCACCATTAGCTTCCCGCTTCCCTCCGACTTTCCCAGTTCATCAAGGGCAGGAGGGCCCAACCTTGGAAATTTTAAGACCCGTGGAGTTCAAGTGCCACAATTCCCCGGATTCTGGGAGTTCAAAGGTTACTAAGGTTTCAGACACCCCTGATCAAGAGATTCCTCAGGGTCCAATGTGGCAAATTGGATCTAGAATCCCTCACATTTAAGACGCTATTGGCAGATCAGGCTGAAAGGAATCAACCCTCAAGCAGTGTTGTTTGAAACTGGATTAAATGTGCATTACGCTCAGATCAGGGAACTCGGTTCCTGCCCTCTTAGCCTTCTGGAGGGCGGTGAAGACCTGCTTCTTCCGCCAAGTAGTAGCTGGGTCTTGGGTGAAAGCAACCAGAGCCACCCATGAGGAGCAGCAAATAGCAGCTTTATTGCTAGTCATCAGTGCTACAAGAATCCCACCAGACTGGCTGCCTTCCCTTGGGAAAGGCAAGAGGAAAGAAGGCTTCAGGGATTGGGGGGGGGTGACTAGTCTTAGAGAGGAGGGAACCTTTGTATTTAAGTAGGTTTCTTATTGATTGTTGTGAACTGCTGAGTTATATGAGACAGGCAGGCATAAAAGTCCTGTACATCAGTCGGCCCATCGATCCTCATCTCTAAATTTGCTACCAATAAGCTCATAAATGTGTAGCTCAGGATTGAAATGAGGGGCTCTTGTTCTCTCTGAGCTTCGTTATTTTCTTACATTGCATTACCAAACTAGGTAACATCATCAGTGCTGGGAGGGGGAATTGCAGGGAAGGGGAGGAGGAAGGAGGAGGGGGAGGACGACAACTATGCCTTAGTGCTCTGTCAGCTTGTTTTCTTGCAGACGGTTTATTACCAAACTACATAACATCATCAGTGCTGCATCACATCATCATCATCTAGTTTGGGTAAAGAAATGTCTGCAAAACAATAACCCAGCTCAGAAAACACGAAGGAGCCTTAAGTCTGCTTCTACACTCTCTGGAATCATGCTGCCGTCTTCCCAATTTTGCTTGTCTTTTTCACTTCTTCACTGGACCGTATCTGTTACGTTGGCCAATTCTTAGAATGTTGCCCTTTGATAGATACTCGCTCTATCTGCTGGCCTGGTCCGTTTCCAGGGGGAAGGCCCATTTACCCCACTGGCAACGGAGGTCTTGACCCCAAGGCCTGCCCAGCCTCTCCCGGGAGGGGACCCGAGAGGTCAGCCGCTAAGCAGGACCCCAGTTATGAGGCTCCCGGACGTTGTGCTCCTTCTCTCCCTGCCGTCTGCTTTGTCTCCTTGCAGGACGATGCTCATCACCTGGATGTGGCTGCCTCTTCTGGGGCTCCTGGCCGGCCACGGGGAGGCTCAGCGCTGCAAACCGGAAATGAGAGGTATCAGGGAGCCCTGGGGACACGGGAGAAGTGAGGCCTTCCCTCTGAAGGCGTTTGGCCAGCTCAGATGCTGACGGGGAAAGGGGAGCCCCCCATTGCCTTCCTTGGTGGCTCTTTTTTTAAGGACTTTGATCAAACATTACAAATTAAAGAGATTAAAGGAACAAAACAATGAGAAAGTGCAAACATTGAATGTTGGTAATTTTGCATTTTTGGATGCTGTTATTATTGTCGTCATCATCCTTGGGGTGGTGACATTGTTTGGTGGGTGGAGTTTCTTTTTCTTCTCTTCCAAGAGCCTCAGAACTGCATGTTAGTCTGTGCCATTGTGTGGAGGAAAATGGAAATAAGTTATTCAACATAGAATTGTAGAGCTGGAAAGGACCTCAGAGCTCTTCTAGCCCAACCCCCAGCTCCAGGCAGGAGACCTTGTGCCATTTCAGTCAAATGGTTGTATGAAAACCTCCAGAGATGGAAGAGTCACAACTCTGGTAGGGAAGCTATTCCATTCTTTAATCGTTCTGTCAGAAAATCCCTCCTTACCTCTAGGTTGTATCTATTGTAAAGAAAAAGAAATATATAAAGAATGACTTTCCCCTCCATCATGTGTATAAACCATTTTAGTAACTTATGTTTCTCTTAAATATGACATGTGATCTTTTCTTCTCAGATTCCATCTCTTTTTTTATAAACAAACCCTTGAAGTCTTGATGTTCAGTCCTGGTCAGCCAAAATCTATTATGAGTTACTAGAGATAACGTATCTATTTTAATGTTGATCATGTAAAGCAAGTTTATATTCCTTTCTGTCTTTAATCCCTTCCAATAATGTCCTAGAACTAATTTTCATTTTTTTCTTTGTCTTCTCTCACAAAATTATTCCGTTTTTAAAAGTCTCTTTTATAAATCCAATATAGGAAAACTGTCCATCTCACTTTTTGGTTTATTTGTATATCTTTTTAATTATTAGGACATCATCTAATTTAATTTGTACATTCAATGTAGCATCGTTTTGCGTACCATTCTTTTAACCTGTCATGTTAAAATCCACTTTCAGTTCGTCAATAGTGTTGTCCACTACTATCTGTTCATTTTTCATTTAAACACAATCTATAATGGCAGACACTCTTAAAATTAACTTCTGGATCCATTGTTCAAAAATATACTTTAATAAGTCTAATGTTATATTTCATTCCATTCTGTAAGTTAAATTTAAGTGTTCTCCTTTTAATTGTGATCTTTAGTTCCTTCTAGTTCCCTCTCATGTCTAAACTTTAAAGTTGTACTCTACTTTTTTTAAAAAGAATTCAAAACAAAAACATTTTCCAACAGGAAGCTTATAATTGATTTATAAATCTTATTTCATCTGGACCCTTAATCTGTTGTAATTTCCTAAATTAATCTAATCACCTTTTTTGCTGTTTATTCCAAACAAAAAAAAAATAAAAAAAGTTCTTAAACCTGTATTTAAGCTTCTTTTGCTAAGGACTGGAGGAAAATCACTGGATGGTTGATCCAAAGATCCATAATAGCTGAAAAGCAATTAACAAGCAATTTCCAAAAGTGATTAGAAAAAAAACAAAAACCCATGCAACTCCTGTGTCCATAAAAGTGTCAATAACGATTTGAGCAGAGATGGCTTTCCCTTGTCTTCCAGGGGTCTAAACCCACCAGAGACCACTCCACCTTTAGCAAAGCCATCTTCAGGATCTTATTCTCTACCCTGGAAGTCACCTTCCTTGATATCAAGACCGACTCTGAGTGCAGCACATTCCTACTTCACGAGGAGGGTGTAGATCAGGCAGTTTCCTTTCCCCCCTTTTGTTGTCCTGCAAAGAAAGCAATGACGGAGAACGGCCAAGTTAGGAGAACTCCCAAATTCTTTTCTTCTCACGAGAAGCTCTCCAGACTGCCTCTGTCCACTCGTTCTGGCCAGGCGTGCAGAAAAGCCCAGAGGACCACCCGCCTTTCCCTCACTTGTGCTCTTCCAAACTGATCTCCAACAGGCAGCAAGACTCCGAGGGAGCTGAAAGTGGTTCCAGGGACTTTGCCTTTCCTCCTGGATGGGTGTGTGCAAATCCAGAGCAGGCAGGTCAACCGAGAACGAGTCCTCTGACATGCCTTTCTTCCCCCAAACTTCTTTCCAGCTACAAACGTGGCCAGAGGGCGTCCAGCCTTCCAATCGTCCACCTATGTGAGCGCGTTCAATTCAGTAGCCAGTAAAGCCGTGGATGGGAACTGCAGCGGACGCTGGGTTGGGCAGAACAGCTGCACTCACACGCAGCGAGAAATGGGGCCCTGGTGGTACGTGGACCTGGGTAGCCGCTATGCCGTTTCTTCCGTGGTGGTGAAAAGCCGTGAGGACTGCTGCGGAGAAAGGCTCCGGGGAGCAGAGATCCGTGTGGGAAACTTTGTGACCAACCATGGAAAATCCAATCCTCTGTAAGTGGCCCTTTCCACAGATAGCGCTTAATCAGGAGACCAAGTGGCTGGGAAAAGGACGCCAATTTGGTAGCACCCCAAGACATCATAGACAAGGGTGGTGCTTAGGGAGGGAGGGAGGGAGGGGAGGCTAAAATGCTTAAGGCTTCCATATTTGGGAATATTTTTTTTAGGATCCAATCTGGATCAGTCACCGGGACCAGGTTTTACCTTCATGATGGAGCCCATCTTTAGGGAACATCTCTCCGTATTGCTGTTACGTGTGTGGTATTTATAGTGCCCGTTGATGGCTGGCTGCTGTTTGCTTCTGCTGCCTAGTCCTCATCTTCCAAGTTCTTGATAGGCTGGTAAATCAGCACTCCTATTGACTGACGATTTCAATTACTTGGCTGCTTTTGTGCCCCTTCATCCAACAACCTAGTAGTTACGAAGTTGAATGTGTGTCCTTGTTCGTTGCAGTGAGATTGGGTCTCTTCGTCTGACCGCTTGTTTGTGTTTTTGCAATCTGGGTGTTAGCTTCCTCCCCAATCGATGAGTATCTTTTTTAGGAAAGCATTTCTTATTTAGCGTATGGACCTAGAGAGGTCATGCAATCATGATACACAAAGGTAACTTTAAATAAAGCATCAGCAAATTAAGATAGGATAGATGGATGGATACAATTTTTTTTTAATTTTAACTGAAAAAAAATTAAAATGTGACAGGGACGATAGGCACATTAGGGCACTTACACAGGAGCCTCTTAAATATGGGATGTAGTCCACAGGAGGTAAGTTAGAATCAAAAGTGGGAAAGTTAGTAGCTGGGACAATTGAATCGGGTAGGATATTCCGTAATTTGACAACTCTTACAAAACTCAAATTTTTTTACAACCGTGTTTAAAGCAGTTTACATTCAGTTTAAAGCACGGCTGTTCACGTTACATTATGGCTAAAACTACAAAAGTCATTTACAGGTAAAATTACTATGTACAATTTTATATGCAATACCTAAATCGCCTAAATGTAGGAGATAAAGCAAAACTATAATAAAACTAATAAAATCACCATAATATGGCGCCAGAGTTGCATCGGGATATATATTATAGTTTGGCATCTAAGGAAGCGGTTTCTGCATCTAACAGCTTCTGCTGGGGCTGCCCTCAGTTCATCCAAGGTGCCTTGAAATGTCCTTCTCCAACTACATGGGTTACCGTTTGTAGGAACGCATTAACTGCTCTTCTGATTCGCTCTTTCTGAACATGACAAACTACGGGAGGCTGATCTCCTTTTTCTCCTTCCAACAGCTGTGGGACCATCACCAATACCCGCCTGGGCGCCATCAGCACCATCTCCTGCAACGGTAAAGTGGGACGCTACGTCACCGTCACCGTTCCTCGCATGGTGTCCCTGGCCCTGTGCGAGGTGGAGGTCTACGGGACCAGGTGAAGCCAGGACCCAGGCGCCTCGGGACATAACTCAATCGAACTTGATTCTCTTGAATAAACTTCCTTTGAGCACCTCTTTTGTTTCTGGGATTGGTTTCTAAGACACAAAGGCCAAGAGGGTCAGGCCACGAAGGAGGTGGCTACGTCTTCCAAGATCCTGCCTGGTGTTGTGGTCTTAGATCAAGCCCTCTTATAAAATCCTCTGATAGGTCCAAGGCACCCGAAGGCAGGAGAAGCAGCAACGGATGGAAACCAATCGAGTTAGAACAATTAGCCAGGGGAACAGTTTGCCACCAGAAGCTGTGGGTGCTCCAACACTGGAGGGTTTAAGAGATTGGACAACCGTTTGTCTGAAATGCCAGAAGGTCTCCTGCCTAAGCAGGGGGTTGGACTAGACGACCTCCAAGATCCCTTCCAACTCTGTTATTCTGTTATAAATACTTCAATGACAACACTGGGCCACTGAGAGAACAGGTTTCAAACAGGATTTTAAAAAACATTTTCTGGTGGTTTGGTTAGAATAAAAAAGATTCCCAACTGAGTTTCTATTTGAAGGGGGCCACAGAAGGGGATCAGCTACCCATAACTTGAGCCTCATCAAAGCAGAGTTGATGAAACGCCTTCTGGAGGTTTTCCGTGAAACAGGGGAAAAAATGTAATTAGGATAAGACGGGTTTGATTAAATCTTTTTTTTAAAAAGATGTAAAAAATGAAAGGTGCAGAACAAGAGGTCAACTTAAAGGTATAAATCGGAAGTGATTTCTTCATATTTCCTTTTTCTTCCTTTTCTTTCTGCATTTTAAGCTTTGTTCTCTTTCTCTGCTGAAGAACAGCAAAAGGAACTGGGCGTATTTAGCCTGCAAAAGATATTAGGTTATAGGAAGAGAGCCATCTTCAGATATCGAAGAGATGGTCCTAGAGGAAGGAACAAACTTTGTCACCTCAAAGATCATGATCAGAAACAAGGAAGTAGATTCAGGTGAGGGCTCCGTGTATGTTGTCTTGAAGACATTTCATTACCCCAAATAGTAACATCATCACCACTGGAAGGGAGTGGAATTTGCGGAGGGAGGGAGGGAGGGAGGATGGATTGTGGGATCCTTGGTGTTCTCTTGAGTTTGGTTGTTTTCTCAAAGACGTTTCATTACCCAAAGTAGTAAGATCATCAGTGCTAGTGGCTCTGCCTGAGAACTTCCCACACGGACACCAGCCAGCCGTCTCTCCAAAAGGTTTGGGCAGCTTCTGCACTGAGCCACACCCTGGAGCGAAGAGCTCCCCTCCCAGGCGCAGGATAGCAGGCTTCAGTTAAAACATTCCCCGCAGTAAGCCAGGCCGTCCCTCGAACCAAGGACCGGGGAAGGGGGAGCCATGAACCACGCCCAAGCAGGGTCTGCTGGGAGTCCTTTTCCAATGACCCAACACCTAGCTTTTGTTCCACGAAGGAAGAGCAGAGGCTTACAGGTCAGTAAATGGTCGGACTGGTTACGTGAACCTGTCTCTCGTGTTCTGATGAGAGGCTCAGGAATCGGTTGTGTGAACTGGCCAACGACTGTATGAATTAAGCCCCCCCCCCCCCCCCCCCCGGAGGGGGTCTCCATTTACGTCTGCCACATCCAAAGCCTGATAGGACGCAGGGAGGATGCCCTAACCCAGGGGTCTCCAAACTTGGCAACTTTACGACTTGTGGACCTCAAGATGCGCTGGCTGAGGAATTCTGGGAGTTGAAGTCCACAAGTCATAAAGCTGCCAAGGTTGGAGACTCCTGCCCTAAACCATCCGAGGCAGGAAGTGATGATGAGAGAGCTTTTCAGTTACGGGGGTCTGCCTTCTGCAGAGCTCCCTCCTTGCCCCTTCTCTGTTTTCGGATCAATGTCCCCGTGGTTTCAATCCTGATCCTCCTAGTTGACTACGAGACAAACCAGGTCTCGTTTAGCCACAGAAACCGTGGGCTCAATTGTGATTTAAGATGAGGACTACATGTACACAGACTGAAGGAAATCACCGCTGTGGGCAGCCCCTCCCCAACAGGGGCAGACTCCAGATTTGCTGCCAAGACAACCTGAGGGGGTCTGTCTTGCTCCCCAAGTTCCTGACCTCTTGAGCTGCAGGGTTGGGACCTCAAGGAATCCCCCCTCCATGGCACCAGCTTCCAAGTGAAGGACTGGAACGGGGCCATCGCCTACCCTCCCTCCCCAGCTCTCAAGCATGGGGGAAAGGCTCAGCCAGCCCCACCTGCCCTGCAGAAGGTCCACCAAGTGCCCCATAGAAATCACCGGAGTGAAAAAAGGAACCTTCCTTCCCTGGGCCCAACCCGCAGGAACCAAAGACCAGGCCTGGAAACAGAAAGGAGGGCAGAATTCTAGAACATGCGTGTTCCGTTTCCAGTGCCGGGATCTTGACCCCACCGCCCGAAAAACCTCAAAAGCCTTATTCACCTCTGTCTGCTACAGTAGAAGTCTCCAACCTTGGTCACTTTAAGGCTGGTGGACTTCAACTCCCAGAATTCCCCAGCCAGCGCTGGCTGGGGAATTCTGGGAGTTGGAAGTCCACAGTGGTGCTGGAAGCTTCCATGGCTGGCTGGGGAATTCTGGGAGTCGAAACCCCCCCAGTCTTAAAAGAGGCCCCTACACTCTGGCATCGCCTCCCTCCGGAAGAAGCAGGGCCCAACACCTGCCCCTTTTAGGGACATAGAAAATAAATTTTATTCTCCGTTCAGGTGTCTACACTGTAGTTGCATCACTAACCACGGCCCTCATGGGAAGAATGCAGCTGACGGCACTCGAACAAACCACCCCAGAGGAGAAGAAGCCTCTGCCTGGAACCAGAGTCTGCCTTTGTGGCCCCACCGAGGAGAGGAGGCGGAAGAGCAGCAGCAGCAGCAGCAGCAGCAGCCGGGACTTGGCTCCTCGACATACTCAACAGAAACAAACAAACAAAAGAATTCGGGATCCAGGCGCACGATCCTTCCGCCCTGCCACGCCTGGCCGTCCTCCTGCCCGCCCCGGGCGTCGGTAGCGCCATGCAGAGGCGGGCAGGTGAGGTGAGGAGGAGGAGGAGGAAGAGGGCACGGCTGAGGCCTCGGCGGTGCTCAAAGCCGGAGGTGGCTTTCCAGTGGTCAGGGCTGAGCTCCGGCGGCCGCAGGGACTGGCGATCCCAGCGCATTCGGAGAGGCGATGACGGGGGAGGCGGCCAAGCTGCCCATTGGCTGGGAGGCTGACATGGAGGCGATTCCTGCATGGGGAGAAAAGGAAGGCAACACGATGGCAGTGCTGAGGGGCTGCCCCAAAGAAGAGGGAGTCAAGCTATCCTCCAAAGCCCCTGAGGGCAGGACAAGAAGCAACGGATGGAAAGTAATCAAGGAGAGGAGCACTAAGGAGTGGAACCAAGGAGGAATTTCCTGACAGAGGGAACAATTAACCAGGGGAACGGCTTGTCTTCAGAAGTTGTGGGCGCTCCAACATTGGAAGTTTTTAAGAAGAGACTTCACAGCCAATTTGTTTCCTGCTTGGGCAGGGGGTTGGACTAGAAGACCTCCAAGGTCCCATCCAGCTCTATTCTGATGAAGGGGGAAAGAAGGGGTGAAGGACGCTGCCTGGGAAGCCAAGATCTCATCCGAGATCTCCCTGCATGAAAGCCACACAGGAGCCAAACCACCCGGTGCTACAGCTGGCACTGCCCCCCTCACCCAGCTACAGCCAAGATGCCTACCTGCCAACATGCTGGAGGAGCTGACAGGTGTGTTAGACGAGGAGAGGACAGTGGAGGCGGCCAGCCTGGCTGGGTCCTTCACAATCGGATCTGTGCAGAGAGGGGGGGGGGGAGAAGCAGTGGTCATACAGGTGGATGGATGGCTCCCTGGACCCCCCTGCCTGCTCAGATCCAGGAGGGGGCAGCTGAGTCCGTGCAGGAGGACAATCCAAGATGGCAGCTCAAGGGGCAGCATTCGGGGGGAGGGGCAGGAGCAGCAGGAGAGAGAAGGGCTGGACAGAGGAGGCTGTTCCCCCCCCAAAGAAGCCTCTGCCGGAGGGGGAATCAGCCGGCCGAGCTCAGCCTGCAGGGGGCCCCCGTCCAAGGGGCTTGAGGTACATGGGGGAACCCGGCCGAGGGTACTACCCACAGAAATAGGGGTGCTCCATGGCCTCGCGGGCCGTCAGCCGCGTCTGGTGGTCGTAGCGCAGGAGCTTGTCCAGGAAGTCCAGGGCCTCGGTGCTCACCAGGTGCTGGTTCTCGCTGTGCACGAAGCGCTCCCATCGCTTGCGGGAATGCCTGCCCCAGAGGGAAAGCGGGAGGTTCCCAGAGCGGTTCTTCACCCCCCGCGGCCCACCAAAGGGAGCGGTGCCCGGGAGGGGTCCCCGCTCACCCACCTGCCCAGGATGTCGTTGAAGCGGGGGTCCAGTTCCACGTTGTACTTGTCGATATAGTCGTAGAGGTCCTCGGTGCCCAACACCTTGGCAATCCGCACCAGCTGGGAAGGAGCAGAAGGGGGTCACTCAGCCAGCTCTGCAGCTGTTTCTGTGCACAGGGAGGACGACCGTTCAAGGCCTCCCCCTCCGCCCCCTCCCCAATTCCAACGGTGATTTCCTGCACACGGGACTGTGAAGGCAGGAGGGAGCAGGGCATTCCGGGGGATGAGCAGGAAGCCAAGAGCCCCGGAACTATCAAGGCAAGGGACGAGAGGCCGGGGGCAAGACTGGCGCCAGTTCTGGCAGAGGGGGCCTCACCTGGTCGTAGTTGTCATGCCCGTGGAAGAAAGGCTCCTTACGGAAGACCATGCTGGCCAACATGCAGCCCAGGCTCCACATGTCCAGGCTGTAGTCATACATCTGCAGGAGAGAGCAGGGCGAGGAGGTCCATGGGGCAGCACCAAGACAGGCACAGACCCAAACGCTTCCCCCTTCAGCAGCCCAGGCAGAGGGCGAGGGACACAAAACCTTCAGGGAGCTCTCATGCACGCACACACACACACACACAGACACCCTCTCTGGAGACTCTCTGGGCCTAGTTTACTCTCACCAGCCCTGCCAGGATGTTCTTCTTGCAAATATGGGAAAAGGACCTGTGACCCTCCAGACTTCGGAAGGAAGGTCCTTCTGCCACCAGAGAAGCTCCTGCTGAGAGTTCCCTCTGCCTATTGGATTACTCTTCCCACAGAATAACAGAGTTGGAAGGGACCTTGGAGGTCTTCTAGTCCACCCCCCTGCTCAAGCAGGAGACCCTATTTCAGCCCAGACAAATGGCTGCCCAGTCTCTTCTTAAAAGCCTCCAGTGATGGAGCGCCCACAACGTCTGGTGGCAAGCTGTTCCACTGGTTAATTATTCTCGCTGTTAGGAAATTTCTCCTTAATTCCAGGTTGCTTCTCTCCGTGATTGGTTTCCATCCGTTGCTTCTTGTCCTGCCCTCAGGGGCTTTGAAGAATAGGCTGACCCTCCTTCCTCGTCTTTGTAGGAGCCCCTTAAATATTGGAAGACTGCCATCATCTCACCCCTAATCCTTTTCATTAGACTGGACACACCCAATTCCTGCAACCGTTCTTCATGTATTTTAGCCTCCAATCCCCTAATCATCTTTCTTGCTCTTCTCTGCACTCTTTCTAGAGTCTCAACATCTTTTTTTTTATAGTATGGTGACCAAATCCTGATGCAGGACACTAGGTGTGGTCTTCCCAGGGCATTATAAAGCGGCACTAACACTCCTTGGGACCAGAGTGGGCCCCGTGGCTGAAGGTCCCTCCTGACCCACAGACGGACTGGAAGAACTGGGAAGGGCAGGCCGAAGACAGAAGAGCAGAGCTAAGGCTTTGCTCTCTGCTCAGGAAGGGGCAAAGTTCCAACCCGATTCCTCTCCCCCCACCCCACCCCCCGGCAGGCCCCATTCAGAATTTGCCGGCTTACCTGGTAATCCACCAAAAGCTCCGGTCCCTTGAAGTACCGGGAAGCCACTCTGACGTTGTACTCTTGTCCCGGGTGGTAGAATTCTGCCAGTCCCCAGTCGATCAGGCGCAGCTGCAACAGACGGTAGAATTGGGAGGGAGGAGTTGAAAATAAGCAAGTAAGCAAGTAAGTAAAGTAAGTAAATAACACATACACACACACACACAGAGAGAGAGAGATCAGGGGTCTCCAAGCTTGGCCACTTTAAGACTGGTGGACTTCTACCTGCAGCATGCACTGGCTGGGGAATTCTGGGAGTTGAAGTCCAGCAGTCTTCAAGTGGCCACGGTTGGAGAGCCCCCCCGTGTGATAGACAACCCACAGGAGGGCTGGGCAGTCAGAAGATGCAGGAGCAGGCCAAGGGGTGAAGCTATCAAGGCCATGGAGTCCCAAAGGTGCTTTTACCAGAGCTCAGCTGAAGAAGCTTCTTGGATGAGAAGCAAAATGTCCACAAAGTAAAAACCAGAAAGTCCAGGTGCCTCTTGAAAAGGAACCTTTGGGACAACCATCACCTGGGTGACTGAGAAGCTCCTGAGACAAGGCCACAGAGCTGTTCAAAGCCAGCACCTACTGGTCTGTCCCATCAACTGCTCTCTCATTGGGGGCTTCCATGAGAGGCAGCGGGAGAGGCCATCATGTTGCCCTCTGGTCTTCCAGAGCGGTCCGTGCACGCTGTGGACCTCATCCTCAAAGTCAATGGGCTCACCTTCCGGTGCTCATGGTCGATCATCACGTTGTGTGGCTTGACGTCCCGGTGCATCACCCCCATGCTGTGGCAGTAATCCAGAGCCTGTGAGGGAGGAGAGAGCGGGTGGGTAGAGGAGGAGACCCCCCCCAACTCTGCACCAGCCTCAGGACCCCCCTAAAGGCAACCCAAGGCCTGAATCTTAAGCCCCCGAGACTTTTCATAGCATGGGGTGGGGGGCAACCCAATCTGCAAAGTATTTTGATGGCTGCGGGTAGGGTCAGAATGTAGATGACATCTTCAGTGGAGCTCAAGCAGGGATGCAACTAAATAGCAGCTGCCCAAGGGAGACCTGCACCTGTTTGTGTGTATGTGTGTGAATGCATGTAAAGTAAAAGTAAAGTAAGTAAAATCAAGTTTCTAGAGTAGCTCCATCTTGGCCAAACTACATGACAGGCCAGGGAAAGTCAGAAAGGGAAAGGGGAAGGGAAGGGAAGGGAAAACCCTTGAGCCTCTAGGGCGGGGGTGGGGAACCCTGGCCCTTTTATGACTTGTGGACTTCAACTCCCAGAATTCCCGAGTTGAAGCCCACGAGTCACACAAGGGCCATGGCTCCCCACCCCACCCCACCCCTGCTCTAGGGATCGAGCTAACTTGCCCAACCACAGTGCCGACTGGGATTAGCTTTTTGCACAAGGACTGGCATCTCCCTTTGTCCCAGTTAGCCCCAGTGCAAACGCAGCTCACATGTTGCAAACACATGAAGCTGGCTCATATAGTTGGCAGCTACCAACTCATCCCACCGTGGCAGCTCTGCCAAGCCCGTTCCAGATCCGCTGCCACTTAGCTGGCACTGCCAAGGGCTGAACATGAGCCCTTAAGGAGTCTTTGCCCTCCTTCACTGAGCTCCCGGCCTCTTTGTGGCTGCAGCAGGAGGCAGAGAAAACGCCACCATTCTTGGCTATTCCCCAAAGACAGTCTTGCACTCCCGAGGTAAGGCTCTGGATTGGCCAGGTAGGAAAGGTAAACTTCCTCCTCCCCCACCCTCACTCTCTCCGGCACCCCAGGAGGAGACTTTGCCAGAGTCGGCCGCCTGCAAAACCTTACCTTCAAGATTTCGTACATGTAGAATCGAATATCAAAATCTGAAAGCGTCTGATACAATTGCTGTAGGGCAGAAGAGGCGAACGGCAGTTAGCAAAACATCCCCTGGCCTCCTTTTCAAAGCCAGGCTCCCCCTCAGCTGTGCAAAGAGCCATTGAGTACGAAAACTGTGCCAGACGTTCTCCCTACAACCATCCGTGGTGATTTTAGGACCGCTTCTAGGAGGTTTTTGCACCTGCAAAGCTCTGGCCTGGAGGACTTTCCCGCATTGGCCCTGCTCTCGTCATGCTGTGGGACAGAGACCATAGACTCCAAGGGCTGGAAGGGACCTTGGAGGTCTAGAAATCATCAAGAGGAAGTCAGCCTGCTTTAGTTTACTGGGGCGTCTCCCCTCCCCGGGAACTCAGAATCTGCAAGGGATGTTGTGGCCTTCTGCTAAGGGCACCATTTTCTCCCGCTGGCCTCCTGCCCAGGGCTGCCTCCTCTCCTTGGGTGGGGGTGGGGGTGGGAGGGGTCATTCCTTCCCTTGCTCTGCTCTCCCTCTACCGCTGCCCAGTCTCACCGCGGAGACTCAATGCGGAAACTGGACGAGAAAAAGGAAAGGAAAGTTTGGGAGTGAAATCTGAGCCAGCTCAAGGACTCCTGCAGCCTTTCCTCCCACTTCAGGAAACAATGAAGCAGCACAACCGGCTCCAAGAGGGCTCCAAGCCACCTTGGCAATCTTAAAAGAGGTCTGGACTTCAATTCCCAGAACTCCCCAGCGTAGCATAGTTTGGCTGGGGAACTCTGGGAGTTGAAGTCCAGTCCCCTTGCCTGAGACCCAATGACATTCCCACTCACTCGTCATTTCCTCACCTTAAAATCTGTGTTGTTGACATGTTCAAAAACCAGGGCGGGTGTCCGAGACTGCAGGGCCAGACGGTCCGGAGGCGGAGGGAAAAGAGCAGACGGGGAGGGGAAAAAAGGCAAAAAGAGCTTTAACCGGATCTTCCCTTCTTCCTTTCGTTTTTCTTAATTTGGGAAATCGTGATTCTTCTATCAGACAACGCAAGGGAAGGCGAGACGGGCAGGAAGTCCTGGACCCTGAACCGATGATCAGGGCCTCCGTTTGGGGCCTTGGAGCTAGTGCTGGGAGACCCCCGAGTTGGGTCTGGTCTCCATTAGGGAGGAGAGGGGGGACTGTATTGCAGTGCATTTATTTTGCCATGTTTGTGTAGTGTGTATTGGAGGCGGTGACCCTTTCGAGAGCTGCATGCCACGAAATAAAGTTGAAATAAGGTTAGAATAAAGTTACTCTATGTCTAAAGTCGTGGTAGTCCAGTGGCCGTGGGTCAGAACTGGGGCCTGACCTGGAGCCCGAAGGAAGGCATCCTGCTCCCTCCATTACAGGGAGTCCTCGACTTACAACAGTCTGTTTAGTGACCGTTTGAAGTTACAACATCCCTGCAAAAAGGGAGGAGTTTTTTTCACACTTACGACCATTGCAGGATCGCTTGGCAACTGGCAAGTACTTATGACGGTGGTAGTGCCCCAGAGCCACAGGATGGCCTTCTGACAAGCGAAGTCCATGGGGAAGCCAGATTCACTTAACAACCTTCTTATTAACTTGACAGCTGCGGGGTGATTTGCTTAACAGCGGTGGCAAGGAAGGCCGTGAAATGTGGCAAAACTCAAGGAACAAATGTTTCGCTTGGCAGCAGAAATGTTAGGCTCAACCGCGGTCGTAAGTGGAGGACTACCTCTAGTAGGGACAAGCCCGGCAAGCCTCTCCCCTTACCACGGGGTCCTTGACGATGTCTAGAAGGTTGATGATGTTGGGGCCCCCTCGGAGGTTTTCCAGGATCTTAATTTCACGCTTTATTTTCTTCTTTTTTACTGGCTGAAAGAAAAGACACACCTGCAGTTACTGCTCGGCTTCAGACGGGGAGGGGGGCTCTGCCCAAAATGGCCGCCTGTCAGACCCTCCCCCCCGCCCCACCCCCTGTGGCTCAATTCAGACATTACAGCCCAGGAATTCAGGGGGCTGCCAGGCAGAGCTGGCTTAGTCAGAGAGAAGAAACCCACCTGGCACAGAGTTCACGGCATCGCAGAGCTGTTTTATCTATCTGGCAAATTTGCAGGGCTGCCCATCTGACCCTGGGTAGCATGCAATTAAACCTGCTATTCTAAGCCTCCTCCAAAACCAACTGAAAACTATTTAAACAAGGCCACAAGCAGGAAAACGTTACGCAACATAGAGCTGACAGGCAGGCTCCCTGTTAGCAGCAGATTCCCCAGGCTGCTTTAAAACTTTCTGTGTCCAATATTTTTAGCCCATGCAATCATTTGCTCTTTGACTACCTCCTCTACCCTTATCATATTCGAGCAAATAGTTATATAGTTTGGCTAATAGTTTATTTTCCGTTCCCATCCATATCTTATCGAATCCATTGGCTCCCATTTCTATACCAAATTCCTCGTCTTTTTGGTATCGGGACTTAATTTGTACATACGCCCACCAATCAATATGGATGCCTTGTTCTTTTAACGCCTCATTCATTTTGAGATTCCCACCACTATCTAAAATGTCCTTGTACTTGAACATTTTTCCAATTTCTAAGACATTAGGATATATTATGGCCTCCATGGTGGAGAGCCATTTCGGAACTTTTGTGTACTGCTTTTGCCTAATTTCCCTCCAGGTCTGCATTAATGTGTCTCTTATTTTATGCCTGTGAAAATATGTCCTTGTCCTTTTGCCTGTATCCCATAGGTAGGCATGCCAGCCCTTCTGCAGATCGTGCCCTTCCAAAGCCAAAATTCTTTTGTTTTCCAAGGTAGCCCATTCCCTTAGCCACACCAAATTGGCTGCTTTATAGTACACTTCCCCATGCTGGGAGTCCAAGTCCACCCCTATTCCTTTTATCCTGTAGTGTTCGGATTGACATCCTAGGTTTTTTCCCTCCCCAGATAAATTTCCTGATAATGCTGTTCAGTTCTAAGAAATTTTTTTTGTCTAGGTTAACTGGAGTAGTTTGGAACAAATATAGCAGCTTAGGCAGGATGCTCATCTTTCTTGAGGCTATCCTGCCTAGAAGTGATCATTGTAATTTCCCCCATCTTTCCAAATCTTGTTTGATGCTTTTAATCAGGGGCACGTAATGATCTTCCTTTAGAGCCGAACATCTTGCCGTTATCCATACTCCCAAATATTTTATTTTCTTAACTATTTGCAAACCCAGGGATTCTTCTAGTGCTTTCTTTTGCTCTTCCGACAGGTTTTTGGTCAACATTTTAGTTTTGGTTTTATTTAATTTAAATCCGGACACTTCTCCATACCTTCCCAATTTCTCCAAAAATTTTTGTCCCGTTTCTAATGGTTCCTCCATGATTAAGGTTACATTGTCAGCAAATGCCTGGACTTTGTATACTTCTTTCCTAATTTTCAATCCTTTAATTTCATTATTGTTCCTCATTTTTCTTAATAAAGCTTCTAGGTTTAAAACTTTCACTCACGCAATCTCTTCCTAAAAACTTCCACCGTGTGAATGCTCCAATCCTGGAAGTTTTTAAGAGGAGACCAGACAACCACTTGTCTGAAGTGGCATAGGGTTTCCTGCCTGAGCAGGGGGTTGGTCTAGAACAGCAGAAACATTATTTGCATTTTTTATATTGCACTAAATCAGGGGTCCTCAAACTGTCCTCAATCAGACAGATATGTGCAATGAACGTTTGTGTTGCAGCAGAGAGTCTCCCCCTTCGGGGTCTTTTTGTGTGGGTCGGAGGGGGCAGAAATTCCAACTTGGGGTCTGCTTCAGCCTCCTGGTGTGGGGCTTTGGGCGAAGGCTGGAGGGAAGCACCGCTGGTGGCGAAGAGCCAGAGGGCCTCGTTCCAGTGGGACTGCCTCATGGCCTGGAACTGGCTGACCATCTCAGCCCGCTGAGCCTCCAGGTGCCGCTACCTGGCCTTGCACTCCCACAGGTCTTCCCTCTGCTTGGAAAGCCTATGCTCCTAGTCCTCAGTGAGGTGCTTCTGCTGAGCCTCCTTCTCGGCCAGATCCAATTGGAACTGAGCCAGCTGTTTTGCCAACTCTTTCTCGTGGCGGCTGCTTAGCTCCAACAACTGCTTCCTCTTGGGGCCCTAAGGAGCCCGGGCGGGCAGGAGAGGAGTGGCTGGCAGGGGAGGGGTGAGTAGAGGCCGGCGAGGCGGCCCTCCACTTGAGTGACATCAAGTTGGCCGTGCCCACCCAGTCACATGATTACCTAGCCAAGCCCACCCAACCAGTCATTAGGCAGATCATACTGGTGGTCCTCAGGATTTAAAATTATGAATTTAGTGGTCCGAAAGGTTGGTGACCCCTGGACTAGAAGACCTCCGAGGTTCCTTCCAACTCTTGTCCTTCTGTTCTGTTCTTTGTAGAAGGGCTGTTATAATCAGCCCCATTGGGGAGTGAAGGTGAGGGTTAGGGTGACTCGAACCCTGGATCCCCCCCCCACATGGCATGGGTGAAGGAGGGGCGTCCCACAGTGGAAAGACACCCCAACCCCCAAGACGCACCTTAAGGATTTTCACCACCACTTTCTCATTGTTAGTGATGTTGATGGCTTCAAAGACTTCGCTGTACTTGCCACGACCGAGTTTCCGCACGAGCTGGTAGTCGTCTTGGTTACTGTGGAAATCAAGGGAAAGAGAAGGAAGTTCACGGCTGCCCCCCTTGCCCCAGGGCTGGCTCATCTGGGCAGAGCCTGCTGCCTTCTTTGTATCCTTAGCAACTTTTCTGTGCTGCTGCGTCCCAGCCCATGGCTTCCTCTTCGGTCCCCTTTCCAGTTGCCTTTGGCATCAGTCTCCCTCTAGGCCTTTAGAGTGGAATTTAAGGGGCCCTGATTATATCCACAAGAACCCGATGAGCTACGGTCATCTGAAAAAGAACAAGGGAGAGCCCCTGGTGCTCTCTGGGCTTGGCTGTTTTCAAGCAGACGTTTCATCACCCAACTAGGGATCATCATCAGTGGTAGAAGGGAGGGGGGTTTGCAGAGAGGAGGAAGAGGGGGAGGGGAGGGGACTGTGGGGTCCGTGGTGTTCCCTGAGTTTGGTGGTTTTCTTGCAGACGTTTCATTACCTAACTAGGGAACATCATCAGTGGGTGGGGGTGGGGGTGAGGGGTTTGCCCCTCTAATTCTTAACACTTCTACCATGGCACTGAAGCTGTTACCTAGCTGGGTTATGAAATATCTGCATTTTATTGCATAAGTATAGGTAGTCCTCTAGTTACCACCACTTGCTTTGTGACCAAAGTTATGACAGCACTAAAAAAGGGACTTATGACCATTTTTTCACACTTATCAACCGCTGCAGAATCCCTTGGTCACATAATCAAAATTCAGAAACTTGGCCTCTGTACCTATGATGGCAAGAGTGTCCTGGGGTCACGTGATTCCCTTTTGTGACCTTCTGACAAGCAAAGTCGATGAAGGGAGCCACTTAACAACCGTGTCACTAACTGAATGACTGCAGTGATTCACTTAACAACTGCAGGAGGAAAGGCCATAAAATGGGGGCAAAACTCCCTTAACAACTCTCTTGCTTAGCGATGGAAATCCTGGGCTCAATTCTGGTCGTAAGTCGAGGACAACCTCTGTTGCAAACTTCCCACCCACCCACCCCAAACCCCCTCTAAATAAAAAGCCCAGAAAACGCTGTAAATGGGCCTCTGGCCAAACTGCAGCAGGTCTTAAGGCAGAGCTCACCAACGTTTCTGGCTTTGTGGACCGGTGTGTGTGTGTGTGTGTGTGTGTGTGTGTGTGTGTGTGTGTGTGTGAGGTTTGCATAAGTGGCGTGCACGCACACCTGCGTCTCACGCAAATGGAGGGCACATGATTGCCCGCTGCTCACGCAAGTGAGGGTATGCGTCCCTGCACATGCTCACTGGCTGTTTCCGTGGCCCAGTTGCAAAGCCCTCAGGGCCCACTAGGGGGCCGCAGCCCACAGGTTGGAGACCCCCTGGGTGGCCCTCGGTCTCTGGACTCCGGAGCCCTGGGGTTTCTCAGCAGCTCCATATCCTGGCAAGGCCCACCCCCCACTGAACTGGGGCTCCTTCACACCCACCGTGTCCCCTTAGCCCCCACCCCGATCCTGCAGGCTTCTCCGGTCACCCAGGAGCCTTCGCCTCTGGCATCAACCAGGAGTCCCAAAGGGGCTTTTTTCAAGAGGCAACTGGACCTTCTCGTTTTTCCTTTCAAAGACGTTTCGCTTCTCATCCAGGAAGCTTCTTCAGCTCTGATTGGATGGGGGGGAATGGAAGGGTTTATGCTCCTTGCAGGCAGCTGGTCATTGGCCTCCTTTTAGAGGGTCCTTGAAGCCACTTGGTGGTTTATCTGTGTCCTCAGGGTCACCTGAGCTGTGCAAATTGTTGTGGAAACTTCTTGATGAGATAAATACAGTGGCCAGGAATTATTTTGAACTGGGGGGGGGGAGGGGGGCAAAGAGAGGACCATTTTAGAGGGCTTCTGATGAAGTCAGCCTGGCCAACTCCCAATCTCAGAATTATGGGGGTTCATCCTTCTTAGATAGAAAGAATAACTATATTGTCTCTTTGAATGTACACTAATCGGCATACATTAAAATGACATTTTGTTGCATGCAGCTCTTAAGAGGGGTCACCACCTCCAATATACACTACATAAACAGGACAAAATAAATGCAAAATTATGTATATACCCGCATATATCATATGACACAGAGAAACGACACAGTGTAGTTTGGATGTATATTCTTGCCTCTGTGGCCTGCCAATCTTTTGGCCGGTCTTGTAGGCCGTGAGAGGCAGGCCAGGCAAACAAACCACAACAAACTCAAGGAGTTGCTCCTTCAGGGGTCCACGGGGGAGGGGGAGAGATGGGGAGGGGAAAGGAGCAACCTGCCAACCTTCTGCAGCACCCACCGTCACCTACCCCCATTCCACCACGTGTGACTCGTAGTCCCAATATTCGCGAGGCCTCTGGGTATTGACATCTGTGTAGACTCTCGCTCGACTTGGTACCGGGCCCGACATGCTGTCCCAGGGTGACGGTCACAACCACACTTTGCTCTGAAACAAGCAAGGAGATTAATCACCTGCAGAAAAAATCGCAGAACAAGGTTGCCCCTCCCCTAAAAAAGGAAACGGGGCCCTTGGCTCACTAGGAGAAAAGGCCCAGAAGAGGCGTGATTGACAGGGCAAGCATTAAAACGGTCTTTCTCCATCTGAACAGGTTTAACTGCGTGGACTTCAACTCCCAGAATTCCCCAGCCAGCGCAAACAAGCAAAGCCCCCTCCACAGGATGCCCCCTCCGGTCCTCTCCATGGAACCAGTCCCTGGTGTCAAAAGTGTTGGGGGCCGCTGCTTTAGTGCGTGGAGCCCTGAGTTTTCCAGGAAGGAGGAAAGGGCCCCTCCCTTCCATGCTGAGCCTGGCAGAAGGAGGAATGGTCTGCCTGCTTCCCTCTCTGGTCTCTCTCCTTGGGGACGCCTCTTCAGAGGAGACCACACTTAACGGCATCCAGAATGTAAAAAAGAGGTTGAGACTCTAGGAAGAGCGCAGAGAAGAGCCACAAGGATGACCAGGGGACTGGAGGCTAAACCACTGGAGGAATTGAGTAGGCCTAGCCTAATGAAGAGGAGGACCGGGGGGGACATGATAGCAGTCTTCCAATATTTGAGGGGCTGCCCCAATGAGAAGGGGATCCATTTATTTTCCAAAGCCCCTGAGGGCAGGACAAGAAGCAATGGGTGGAAACTAATCAAGGGGAGAAGCAACCTGGAACTAAGGAGGAATTTTCTGCCAGTGAGAACAATTAACCAGTGGAACAACTTGCCTTCAGAAGTTATGAATGCTCCAAAAGTAGAAGTTTTTAAGAAGAGACTGGGCAGCCATTTGCCAGAGCAGGGGGTCGAACTGGAAGGCCTCCAAGGCCCCTCCCAGCTGTGTTCTTCGGGTAAGACCCAGCAGCAACTCTCCCTCCCCCCCTCCCTCCGGCTGGAGAGGAAGTAGCTGAGCACCTGGCTCCCTTCCCAAGAGGCCTGCAGGGAGGCTGCCTGACCTGCACAGCCTGGCCCAGCATCCAACGCAGGCACTCTCCGCCCACAGGCCCATTAAGAGGAGCTGCCTTGAGGCAGTGTGGGGGGGGGGGGCGGCTGAGGAGCCCTTGCAGAACCAGGAAAGCCAGCAGGGAGGGAGGCTCCGGCACGGCTGCAGCCAGAGAACCAGCCCAGGTCTATGGAGACTCACAGGCCCTGGTTGTCCCAAAGGGGCTTTTCCCCAAAGACAACTGGGCTTTCTTCGTTTTTGCCTCTGAAAACGTTTCGCTTCTCTCTCAAAAAGCTTATTTGGTTCTGAAGTTTTCATACTAAAAAAAAAAACCACCACCACCAAGGAAGTCCAGTTGCCTTTGGGGAAAAGCCCCCTTGGAGGTCTAAGAAGGGGGAGGGGGATCGCAGCCTACGTGACCGGCCGAGGGGCCCTTTCTGATGCCCCCTGCCCACCCCCAGCCCCCAACCCCAACGCGGCCCCTGCAGTGAACAGGGAGATGCTGGGGAGATCTCCCCCAGGGTTGCTGGGACCATGAACTTCCACAGATCTTTCTCTGACCTGAATTCCTGCTGGACTAAGCTCTTGGCAGCTCTGGCCTTCCCCACAGGGGTCCTCCTCTCCCTTTGGCTCTTGGAAGGACTTGGAAGGGTTTATGATCTGAAGAACCACCTCCAATCCATCTGCCCTCCCCAGTTAGTGCACTGAAGGAAAACCATTCCCCCCCCCCCCCAAATACTTTGAGGAAAGAAACCCAGCCCAGGGGAAGAGAAGAATCCGTTCCTGCGGCTGCTGTTGGAGAGGCCCGAAAGGCACTTTGGGTGGGCCAGAGTAAAGGAGGGGGGGGAACAGCCCCCTCTAAGCCCTGCTGGGCAGAAGGACCTGCAGGCGTGGCCTGGGCAGCCCAGAGTATCCCAGAGTCCTCCTCCCTCACCCTGGAAGAGGAGCCTACAGCACCCTTTACAAGGGCAGGATCCCCACCTGAGGGCCTCAGGCCTTTTACCTCCACCGAGAGGAGGCTGCAGACAAAGCCATACCGGCCACCCCACCCTACAGAGCTGGAAAGGCAACCCTGCTTTTGCTGGCCTTCCTGTCTTGTGTTTCTTGGATTGTTTACGGGTGTGTGTGTGTGTGTGTGTGTGTGTGTGTGTGTGTGTGTGTGTGTGTAGCTGGGCAACTTGCAAGAATGCAGGAGGAGTACATCAACTAAAAAAATAAAATGAAATTACACTGCAACAACAAATACGGCCACGAAGCTCACCCAAAATAAACCAACCTAACCCTCCACCTGCCAGGAAGAGCTCTGGCCCCAAGGCCCCCCCTTGCCCTGAAAGCTGGACACTGTGACCGTCGTAAATGTGAGTCAGTTGCCAAGCATCCGAATGTAATTCACATGGCCATGGGGATGCTGCAACGGTCACAAGTGTGAAAAATGGTCATAGTTCACTTTCTTTAGTTTGAACGGTTGGTAAGTGGACTGTTGTAAGTCGAGGACCACCTGTACTCAAGTGCTCTGAAACTCACTGAATTGGGTACTCAACCTATTCCGACGGGACAATTTTGTCCCGTTACTCATCGTTTGTTGGATACTCAACAGAGGCTAGAACCTCTCGGTGTCGGTTGCTTTGTGACTCTCTACATTACTGCTTAAGGGGAAAAAAATCATGTGGGACTCCTGGGGCCTCCCACAATCAGGTTTACGATGCGCACCGAGGTGCCACTGTAAATTCCTCCACTCCCCACCATTCAGTCAGAACCGAAGAAGCTTCTTGGCTGAGAAGCAAAACTTTGTCAAGGAAAAGGCAAGACAGTCCAGCTGCCCTTTGGAAAAAGCCCCTTTGGGGCAGTCGACCTGTTATCCAGACCCCTGGATGTGCTGGGCTGTGACTTGGGGAAGAGGCGAAGGAAGTGCTCCGAAAGGCCACTCGCCCCTGAGAAACACCAGGACTGCCCCACAGCGGCACGGGATAACCTGCCACGGCCAACAATTCAATTTAATGATTTAAAATAGTTAAAAATCACTTTAATTTTTGTCGTTTACATTTCATTTTGTCCCTTCTTGTCATCCTTTCTTTCATGATTCCATTCCACCATTTCCTCGATATTAGCGTGAACTCTTGTCCCGTGGAGAGCTGGCCGTGGCAAGCTGTCGTAGACCTGCTCAGCATATATTTCTAACGGCTGGAAATCTCGGTTGTGGTGATACTCGGTGACACAGCAGTGTCGAAAACCCACGCTACAAACCTTCAGAGCCCGGGCCACCGCTGGTGCTCCAGAAAGTAATCTGGCATCTCAAGATTATATTCCGTTTGGAAAACAAGTTCCCAGGGATTCTCACAGGAGAGGAAGCACCAAGGTACATGTGAGATTACGTGTCCACACACACACAGATTCAAACGGCACCAATCCAAAGCACGAACAAAAAGGAAAGAGGAAGAAAACTTCCCACAAACTTTCTTCTAAGTTCCCATTTCCTTTCCTAGGCCAAAACGCAGCATCTGCATTTTGTCAAGCGTGCAACTGCAGAAAGTTAGGAAAACACAACAGCCTACATTGGCATAATGAGAGATAACACCTCCTAGCTGACACAGATTAGCGCTTTTTATCTTATCTACCACAGAGTGATAGGACAGGCCTCAAGGGTACCAATCGGATAAGATTCTGTGCCATTAAGTCCAGGCGATACACAATTCCACACTCCTGCGCTTCGTAGCTCCATGCGCCTCTGCTCTCATACAAATAATACATCATTTGAAAGAAGACGTTGAGGCCATCAAATCCAACCCCATACGCATTGTAAATTCTAACTTTCCATTCCCCACAAAGAGGCCTTTCCAGCCTCTAAGCTAATGGGATCCAAACTTGGCCAGTTTAAGACTTGTGGACTTCAACCCCCAGAATTCCCCAGCCAGCCAAGCTAAGTGGCCAGAGTTAGACATCCTTGCTCTGAACAAATCTGCCGCCAAAGAGTGAAAACTAGTACCAGAATCCTTCCAGACAAAGGGGAGTGGGAGGCTGCAACCCCTGCCCTCCCTGAAGAGGCTGGCTCCTGCTGCTCCAAAACTGCCCAGGCAGCCATGAGAAGACAGAGGGGACCCCAGGAGACAAATGCAAAGGGACAGTCAACTTTCTCCTACGCCTGATTAAGATCCATCCATTGCAGAGGGAGGGATACTGATGTTAATTAGTTGGGTAATGAAACATCTGCATGAAAAAATCATTTGTACTAACTCTAGGAGAAGCAGTATTAGCTTTGAATCGTCATAAGGACTGGAGACTAAAACCTATGATGAACAGTTGCAGGAACTGGGCCTGACTAGTCTAGTGAAGAGCAGGACCAGGGGAGGCATGAGAGCAGCCTTCCAGTATTTGAGGGTCTTCCACAGAGAGGAGGAAGGGGGTCAAGCTATTCTCCAAAGCACCTGAAGGCCAGACAAGGAATAACGGATGGAAACTGATCAAGGAGAGATTCAATCTGGAAATAAGGAGGAATTTTCTGACAGGGAGAACAATCAACCACTGGAACAGAAGTTGCCTTCGGAAGTCGTGAGACCTTCATCACTGGAAGCTTTCAAGAGGAGACTGGACTGCCATCGGTCAGAAATGGTGTAGGGTCTCCTGCTCGAGTAGGGTTAGACTAGGTGACCTGCAAGGACCCTTCCAACTCTGTTATTCTATGCTTCCATCATCATAAGGATTATTGAATGCTTATAATAGGGAAGGAGGACTACTGGGCTGGCATCAGAGGGGGTTTTAAATTTGGGTTAAAAGTTAACTTTTAACTTTGGAAAGGATTGGACTGGGAGAAAGAACTTGACGGAAGGGCATGATGGCTGGCAACTAGCATGGTTCTAAAACAGCATCTTCCAAACTTGGCAACTTTAAAGTGTGTGGATTTTTAGCACCCTGGCAGAAGAATTTTGAGAGCTGAAGTCCACACGTCTTAGACTTGCTAAATTTGAACAACTCTGATCTGGAAAATTGTGGCCGCTGAAGATTCATCCCACTTTCACAATGACGATCCAGAGAAGTTCATTTACGGAACATGTATTTATGGGATACAGGTAGTCCTTGACTTACAAAAATTCGTTTAGTGATGGTTCAAAGTTACAGCACTGAAAAAAGTGACTTATGACCACTTTTCATACTTAAGATCATCGCTGCATCCTCATGGTCATGTAATCCTCATGGTCATGTGACCTTCATATTTATGACGGTTGCAGTGTCCAGGGATCATGTGACCTGCTTTTGTGACCTTTGACAAGCAAAGTCAATGGGGAAGCCAGAATCACTTCGCAGCCGTTACCAACTTCAGAACTGAAGGGATTGACTTAACAACTGTGGCAAGAAAGGTTGTAAAATGGGGCAAAACTCAGTCAAGAATTGTCTCATTTAACAACAGAAATTTTGCACGCAATTGTGGTCGTAAGTGGAGGACTACCTGTATAAGAAGAGGAAAAACAATAACAGTCCCTTCCCTGATGACAACATCCACCCCCCACTCTGCGTCATTGAACAGGAAAGCCGCCACCTCCACCATCTCCCTCAAATGTCTCATATAAATTTTGGGCTCAATTGCAGTCATAGGTTGAGGACTACCTGTACAAACGAGTTCACCTCTGCACCCAATCGCAGGTCCCCAAATCTCCCGGAGAAAAGACATGTGACCTCAAGGGAGCCCACAGCAGCAGCAGCAGCAGCAGCAAAGAGTACCTTGAGCGTGCCTGCTTCAGTGGGTCGCCCCAATGCCACCGGGCACTGTCCTGCGAGAGGCAGAGCAAGGCACGTACAGCATTCCAGGAGGGGAGGGGGGGAGGTCGGGGAGGAAGGGGTGCGAGGCTGGCCACCCGGTGCTCGGAAGGTGTGGCAGAGGTGCTCCCACGCCGTCAGCGGCCGGATTCCATCCGGCACAAGGGGGGCAGAAACAGAGGCAGTTCCGAGGACCCAGGCATCCGGTTATAGCATCGCCCCGTTCCTGAAAGAGAGAAGGGATAATTTCTGTAATTTTCACATTCTTCCCAAAACGGTTGTTTTTCACACCCTGGATGCTCTGTACAAACAGTTATATGGCTATGGTAACAATTTAAAAAATGGAACGCCTCACTCTCAAGTAGCTATTGGAGAACACAAGGTTATAGGATCCTAAAGTTTATTCTAAAAAGGGCCCAAGAGCGAGATAAATCCAGAAGGTTATGTGGACATGAATCTTAGCTACATAATTAACAGAATGGTATTCTGTTGGAAGGGACTAGTCCAACCTCCTACTCAGGCAGGAAATCCTATTCCTCTTCTCAAAAACCTCCAGTGATGGAGCACCCACAACTTCTGGAGGCAAGCTGTTCCACTGGTTAATTGTTCTAAATGTTAGGATATTTCTAATATTAGGTTGCTTCTCCCCTTGATTAGTTTCCATCCGTTGCTTCTTGTCCTGCCTTCGGGTGCTTTGGAGAATAGGTGGATCCCCTCCCTCTTCTTTGTGGCAACCCCTCAGATATTGGAAGGCTGCTTTGTCCCGTCTAGTCCTTTTCATTAAGGTACAGAGATAAGATACAAAGGTACCAGGTCATCTAGATCACCTTGGCACCTTTAAAGACCTGTGGATTTCAACTCCCAGAATTCCCCACCTCCACAGGTCTTAAAGGTGCCAAGGTTGCACGTCCCTGATATGATGTTTATAAAGCTAACTGCTTACAAAAGAAAATAGCCCTGGAATTTCCAGGAAGGAGAAAGAAAGGAAGGAAGGAAGGAAGGAAGGAAGGAAGGAAGGAAGGAAGGAAGGAAGGAAGGAAGGAAGGAAGGACGGGCTGACTGTGGGGTCTTTGGTGCTCTCCGAGCTTGGTTGCTTTCTTGCAGATGTTTCATGACCCAACCAGGTAGCATCATCAGTGCTAGAAGGAAGAAGGATTTGCATTTTCTACCACTGATGATGTTATCTAGCTCAGGTAATCAAACATCTTCAAGAAAACAACCAGGATCAGAGAGCACTAAGGCAAGGAAGGGAAAAAGGGAAAGAAAGAAGGAAGGAAGGAGACATCACTGATGATGTTACCTAGTTGGGTCATGAAATGTCCCTCAGTCCAGGAGGTGCCTGAACTGAAGCAGCCCAATTTTAAAGCCAAGAAATGAACTGAAGCTTTGTTGGTGGTTTGGGGATCTGGAGACAGGAGTTTCACACTCCGTGCCAGGCCACCGTTTGCACACCAGGCCCACCCAACCCAACGCTCCAAGCGCAACCCAGGGAAGCCTGGGAGGACTTGGCAGGTGTGCAAACCGGGGCATGCCGGTGGGCAGAGGGCCGAAGCAGGAAGCAGCCACCCACCTTTTAGCCTGGGGAACAGCCTTGGGGGGTGGGGGGGGACTGTCAGGATGTTGGGCTGATTTGGGGGCGGTCCTCATCCCCAAAGCTGAGTGGGGGGGAAAGGGAGGGGCAGGAGAGCAGGAAAGCCAGTGATGCCCATGGGGAGGGGAGGGGCTGCTGGAGGGGCCAGTCCTCCCCTGGGACCCATGGGAGGGGGGGACAAGGCCAGAAAGCCTCTCCTCTGCCCCCCACCCAACCAGAGACCTGACCCCCACAGCCTCCCCTCCTCCTCCTCCTCCCCTTTCGAGGCTTTATTGGGGACCCTTTACTGGACGGGGGGGGGGGGCGGGGGGGCAGGGGGTTCCCCGGGGGGGGGGGGCCGGGGGGGGGGGCGCCCCCACCGGCCAAGGGCCCCCCCCCCGGGGGGGGAGCCTTCCCCGCCTCCCCCCCCCCCCCAGAAGAGGCCTCCTCAGCCTCGGCCTCCCCTCGACCGCCCTTCCCCATCGCTGCGGGGGGGGCGCCCACGGGGAGAGACTCCCGACCCCCCCCCCCAGAGCCCCCCCAAGCCCCGCCCGCCGCCACTCCCGGGCGCCCCCCCCTCCGCGGCCCCTCCTTACCTCGCCGGGCCGCGCGGGAGGCGGCGACGAGGACGGGGGGGAGGGGAGCGGGCGGGTCTCTCCCGGGTCCGCTCCTGGGGGAGGGGGCGGCCTCTCTCAGCCCGCCGCGGGGGAGACAAGATGGCGGCGGCGGCGGCGGCGGCAGGAGCGCGAGCGAGCGGGAGCGGCAGGAAGAGGCGGCTTCCCCGCCGGGCCGCCAGGGGGCAGCTCCCGCTTTCAGGCCATAGAGCGCGGGGTGGGCAGAGCGGCCAAGGGCGGTTTGGCCGTGCGATTCGCCACAGAGATGGATGCTGCAGGTGGTCCGACCGGTTTGCAACCTGGGAGCGGAGTCCTCCCTCTGGTCCGCTTCTCCCTGGGAGTCCCGGTGGGCGACCCCTTAAACAGGAGCCAGCCCAAAAAGCTCATTCGATCCCGGGTTGCATGGACAGGAGGCATGGGATCCGAATCACCTGGAGTATGAATACCGCTTGATAAACCCCTGGAATCCTGCATCCCGTTTTGGTCCCCACGTTACAAAAAAGACGTTGAGACTTTGGGAAAAGCGCAGAGAAGAGCAACCAAGATGGTTAAAGGCCTGGAGGCTACAACCTCTGAAGGAGGGTTGCAGGATTTGGGTCTGGCCAGTGTAGAGAAGAGGAGGAGGGGACAGGATAGCAGTCTTCCAGTATTTGAGGGGCTGCCCCAAAGAAGAGGGGGTCAACTTTTTCTCCAAAGCACCTGAGGGTAGACAAGAAGCAATGGGTGGAAACTAATCAAGGAGAGAAGCAACCTGGAATTAAGGAGAAACTTCCTGACAGTGAGGACAATTTTTTGTCCCCTTTTTTAGTTTTTTTAGTTTTTTAGCTTTTAATCTGTCAATGGGTTTTAATTCAAATTGTTTTAAATTTGGGCCAAAGTATGTAATTCTTTTAATAATTTTAAATTTTGTATTGGTATGTGTTTTAGTTCTGGCTGTGCACCGCCCTGAGTCCACTAGGAGAAGGGCGGTATACAAATTGAATAAAATAAATAAATAAATAAAATAAATTAACCAGTGGAACAGCTGGCCACCAGAAGTCATAGGTGCTCCATCAGTGGAGGTTTTTAAGAAGAGTCTGGACAGTCATTTCTTTGGAATTGGTTTGGGGGGGGGGAGCAGGGGGATGGACTAGAAGACCTCCGAAGCCCCTTCCAACTCTGTTATTCTGTTCCTTGGGGAGCTGGAAGGGGCCAAAAAGGGCCATGGGGGTGAGTGAGGCAGCCCGGTGTGAAGGGAGATGGGGAGGAGTGGGGGGGGGGGGCTGGCTGGGTGTGGAATTCTGGGAGCTGAAGTCCATCCACCTTCAAGTTGCCACGGTTGAGAAACCTTCCATCTAGTCCGACCGCCTGCTCAAGCAGGAGTCCCAGGTGATAGGAGGCAGAATTGTCTTCAGCTATAATCTCCATTTTGAGAGTAAATCTGAATCACCCTTTCTTATTTTAACATCTTGCCTAATAAAGCAAGACCTGAAAACGTGGTTCTAACCAAGATATTACTCATTTGTGGTTCTTTTATCATAGCTCAACCACTATTATAATTGCTTTCTTCTAGACCGGCTTTTGTATTTACGCAGAAGGTGACCTAGAATCAGCCATGAGTGAGTGGCTAATTAGCCATATGAAGAGGACAAGAAAGGGCCAGCTGAGTGGTTCCAGAAGTCTGCTATTCCTACGTAGAGGAATAAGTGTCCAAGACACAGATTAACAGAGCTGGAAGAGACCTTGGAGGTCATCTAGTCCAACCCCCTGCCCAAGCAGGAGACCCTACTCCATTTCTGACAGATGGCAGCCCAGTCTCTTCTTGAAAGCTTCCAGGGATGAAGCTCCCACGACTTCTGTTCCATGGGTTGATTGCTCTCACTGAAAGAAAATTTATCCTTTCTAGGTTGAATCCAGGGCTGAAATCCAACAGGTTCCGGAGAACTGGTAGCGGAAATTTTGAGTAGTTCTGAGAACCAGCAAATACCACTTCTGGCTGGCCCCAGTGGGGTGGGAATGGAGATTTTGCAATGTCCTTCCCCCAGGAGTGGGGAGGGAATGGAGATTTTGCAATATCCTTCCCTTGCCATGCCCAAGCCACACCACACCACACCCACAGAACCAGTAGTAAAAAAAATTGGATTTCACCACTGGTTGAAATCCTTGGTCAGTTTCCATCCATTATTCCTTGTCTGGCCTTCGCGTGCCTTGGAGAATAGCTTGACCACCTCCTCCCTGTGGCAGCCCTTCAAATATTGGAAGATGCTATCCTGGTCCTTCTTTTCATTAAGACCAGCCATGCCCACTTCCTGCAACTGTTCATTGTATGTTTTGGCCTCCAGTCCCCTCATCATCCTGGTTGCTCTTCTCTGCACTCTTTCTAGTCTCTCAGCATGTGTAAAATGCTACCATTTGGCCTAGTGGTTAAGGCATCAGGCTGGAAAGCAGTGAGTTCTAGCCCTGCCTTAGCCATGAAATCCGGCTGGGTGACTTTGGGCCAGTCCCTCTTTTTCAGCCCAACCCACCTCACAGGGTGGTTGTTCCTCAGAGGGGGGGGGGAAACAGGAGGTGGAAGGAGCGTGGTGGGTGTTTGCTACCTTGAGTTATTTATAAAAACAAAGGCGGGATACAAATAAATACGGAGTGGGGAAGTACCCTGGATCACCTTGTTCTCCTCCGTCATCAGGTTCGGGCTGTCCCCAAAGGTGGCCTTCCGACAGACCCTCCAGACTCAGGAAAAACCTGGGATTTTGCCCCAAACTTTGCATCTTCCCAGGCCTGCTTAGATCCCATTTTTCAGCTCTGGGGAATTCTGGGAGTTGAAGTCCCCAGGTCTTAAAAGTTGTCAAGCTTTTGCTATTTTTCCCCCTCACGTCTCTCTGCAGCAAATTCCTCCGGCTTCACCCTCGGGTTGGCTGACCCATCGCTCTTCACCAGAGCCCCCCCCCCCCAGGGACCCTCTGGCTGCTTTCCCTCCAGGGGGTCTCCCCCGCTGCCACCACGCAGAGACAGAAACCTTTTGAAAATATGCTTTAATCACTTTGTACCGGGCAGATACATTCTGCAAACTCTAAAAAGTCGCTGGGTTGACAAAAACACGGTCGAGCCACGGAGTACCCCACCCCAGGAATCAGACATGGCTCCTGCCACCCTCCCGGACAGAGTCCCAGGGACACGTGCAGAGCTCAGCCCCAGCTGCGTCAGGACGGAGAGCCAGGAGTGCAGAGAACTGGGGGCAGCCCTGCAGGAGCAAAGATGAGCCTTCGCCCCCCCCCCGGTTCTAGGGAAGGCAGGAGCCAGGTGAGCCCTGGAGCCCCAGGCCCGTGAAAGACGGCAGACCGAAGGAGGCTGGGAACCCCGGAGGGGAGGGAGGGAACGGGGCTGCTCTCATCCGCTGATGGGACTGGTGAGGCCCCCAAATAAACCTGAGTCCTTTTAAAGTGCCAGGGAGGCAGCCCCCTTTGCCCACCCGTTTGATGTCCTGGCTTCCCTCTGCCCTGCCAGGCACGGTTGGCATCAGTCCTCGTTTCTATTGCACGGATGGATGGCAACGGCTCAAGGGATCAAATCCTGCCAGAGGACCCGCTAAAAACTGGGGCACCAGGAAGGTTATTGCATTGATCCAGTATATTCGGACTCAAGAGTACCGGATAGGCAACCATCACACACACACACACATGCACGCGCACACACACACACACACACGAGACGAGATAACACACGTGAGGCTGCCCCCCGCCCGGCCCACTCCGGAGGAGAATTGACGTCGTTGCCTGGGCTGGTGCCCTCAATGGAGCCGGGCCTCCCGGGAGGCAGCAGAAAAGGCCAGAGGGGGGAGGCTGCCCACTGCCAGCCCCCACCCCACCCCCGGCTGATCCTCAGGAGGGAGAGGCAGGACGGAAAACGTGAGCCTCGGCCGGCAGAGTCAGTCACTGGCTTCCTTCGTAATTCAGCACGTAGTAGTCATGGACGTACATGAGGACGGCGATAGGCTGACCGATGATCAAGGATATCCACACCGCCGCGTTCCCGTAGTTGCCCCAGAGGAAGCGGCTCACGAACCAGGCCAAGGGGATCTGGGGGCGGGGAGGAGACCAGCGTCAGCTGAGGGAGGGCTGAGCGCGGGACAGGAGGCAACAGCACTGAGGTCTCCAACCTTGGCAACTTTAAGCCTGGCAGATTCTGGGAGTTGAAGTCCTCCAGTTGCCTTAAAGTTGCCAAGGTTGGAGAGCCCTGGTCAAAGGGTCTCGGGCCCCTTCCGTGGGAGAAGACCGCAGCCTCCTGGGGGCTTCCTGATCTCACCTGAGCCATCATGCCCATGAACGCCCACAGCCGGAACATCTTCAAGGGGACGCTCACCAGGTACTGCCAGGGTGGAAGAGAAATGGGAAAATCAGCTCCGAGGCAAGGGGGCTCCCAGAACGCTGCTCTCCCGTGTGAAGAGAGGTCCGTTCTCTCTGCCAGCCTGGTCTCTCAAGAGGAGCTGACGGAGCCCAGCAAAGGAGGACCTGTGGGGGCTGCTAAAGGGACACGGCAGCACCTGCCGAAAGGAGCTTAGAACGGGAGGGAGGGAAGGAGGGAAGGGGGTTGGAGGAGGAGGAGGAGGAGGCCTGTGGGGTCCTTGGTGCTCTGTGAGTTTGGCGGATTTCTTCCAGATGTTTCATGAGCCAAACTAGGGAACATCTCTAGCGCTGATCGCTAACGCTGGTGATGTTACTTACTGTCGTTTGGGTCCTGAAAGGTCTGCAAGAAAAGCCCCCAGTTCTGAGTTCTTATTTCGGATGGCGTCTCTGCCAGTTGGAAGAGAGAAGTACTAACCTCATGGAAGAAAGCAGAAGCGAGGAAGACGGCCACCTGACCCGTCCACTTCCCAGCTCCCCTCTTTATCATGGGCTTGTAGAAATGCCTGGAAAATGCACAGGGGCAAAAGAGAGCCCACCCTTAGGAGTCTGGCCCCCAAAAGGAAGAGCGAGAGGAGCCCGTCCCCCCCCCCCCCCCCGTTATGACCTCAAAGGCATCTGGGCAGTAGGCGGACTCGGGTGTCGCCCGGGCGTCCTTGCCTGCTTGGGCTTAGGAAGAGTCAGCTGGGCAGGTACCTTAGAGCAGGGGTCTCCAACCTTTAAGCCTGGCGTCCAGCAGGCTTAAAGATGCCACAGTTGGAGAAGATCTGCCCTAGAGAAGATCCGAGGATGGCGTCTTCCAGCCAGCCTGGCAGCCCTGCCTCAAGCAGGCAGAGAGGGCATAGGAGCTCCAGGAATGTGGGAGCTTCTGCCCGACCTCTGGCGTGGGAAATGGAACAGGGCTGGGAAAGCCAGTTCAGTCATGCCAGCTAGGCCCAGGCCTCCTTCCATCCAGAAAGGCTGGGAAAACTCCAGAAGCCATTTCTCTTCTCGATGCTGATGGGATCCCGCTGGCTTCCGGATGGCCAGGCCCTCCAGCGGGACCCTGATCCCAAATAAACAGGGCAGGAGGGAGGCTGCCTGCCTCAAAGCAGGGTGGGTGGACCCAGCCTCAGAAGCAACCTCTGTGCAGGGAGGCCCCACCGTTCCTGGGGTTGAAGGAGGACTCTTCTTCCCCACCCCACACTTTGCACCTTTCAAATAGTCCTCGGCGTACGACCACAATGGAGCCCAACATTTCCGTTGCTAAGCGAGATGTTTGTTAAGTGAGTTTTGCCCCATTTCGTGACCTTTCTTTCCCACAGTCATTAAGTGAAGCATTCCAGTTAAGAACACGGTCATTAAGGGAATCCGGGTTCCCCATCGATTTCAGAAGCTGGTCAGAAGGTCGCAAAAGGGGATGGCGTGACCCCGGGGTGCTGCGACCGTCATAAATACGAGCCAGTTGCCAAGCATCCGAATTTGGATCACGTGACCACGGGGTTGCTGCAACGGTCGTAACTGTGAAAACCTGGTCCCAGCGTTAACTTTGAACAGTCACTAAGCCAACGATCGTAAGTTGAGGACTGCCTGTGCTGACATGTCCTACCTGAGGCACCACTTGTGGACTGGGATGTTCCAGTTCTGCCAGAAATACGTCACCGACTCCGCGTTCCTGCGAAAGAGCAGCGGGATCAGAAGGGGCCTGGGGCTGAAAGGCCGGTCTAGGGAAAAACATGTGCGTCTCTATGCTCTCAAGCCTTCCCCCCCCTCCACTCTCTCCTTTGGACAGACCCCTCCTCCCTTTAGTTGGTCTCCCACGGTCTGGAGCCCTCGCTGTCCAAGACAAGGCTGGTCTACGCGGCTCTTGCGTGCAACTGAGCGGGAGGCAGAGGGTGGGGGAATAGTTGGAACTACCACCAGAAAGCAAGACAAGAAGGCGGCACAAGAAGCAACGGATGGAAACTCATCAAGGGAGAGAAGCAGCCTGGAATTAAGGAGGAATTTCCTGACAGTGGGAACAATCAACCAGCGGAACAGAAGTTGTGGGAGCTCCCTCGCTGGAGGTTTTTAAGAAGAGACTGGACTGACGTGGTAGAGGGGGTTGGACCAGAAGTCCTCCAAGGTCCCTTGCTCATCCAGAGGAATTTGCTTGCAACGTTCACTAAAAGCTGGGAGGCTGCCGTAATCCAGGGGATCCCAAGGTCATTCTGATCAGTTTGGACCACGTGCCAAAATGTAAGGAAACCCTCCATGTGGCCCCTTCACTAGATGCCACCAGCCCACTCACCACCAATCCCGGTAAAACTCTCGGTCGCCAAACTGCAAGATCTCGGCTATGAAGTTCAGGCTGGAGTGGAAGAACCAGTAGAAGAAGATGAGCCAGATCAAGTGATTGGGGACCTGCGGAGAGGCGAGACAAAGGAGGCCCATGGGTGCCCTCGGCTTCCTCTGGAGCTCCTGGGCTCTCCACACACGGCCACTCCTAAGGCTTGTGGGCTTCAACTCCCAGCGCCTGTGCTGGCTGAGGAACTCTGGGAGCAACTTCCTGATCAGACCAGAAGTGGAGAAGCAGGAGAGCAACGTCCCACCCATCTTTAGGGAAGAGTTTCTATTGAGCTTCCCTAGGGCCAATCTAGACGGGCCTTGGGCTCTGACTCAGGATGGAGTCTGCCCTGAAAGACACATCGTTCCAGGGACGGTCACAATCCTGCTGGTGGGCCCAGAGCAAGAGACACCGACTCACCTTAAAGCAGACCGTGCTTGTGTCCCCAACACTGCACACCAGCCCCCCTTCCCAGCTGAGCTTGTCTCCTGCCTTCCGAATTGAGACTACAGCTCCCAGGATTCCCAGCCAGCCATTTGCGATACTTACAGCTAGCTTCAGGAGACGCTCGATCATCCTGGAGTAGTCCATGTCCTGCAAACCAAGATTGGCTTCAGTCTTCTCCCTACCCAAGGCAGCTGTGCCCCCCCTCCCATCTCTCCCAACCGCTCAAGGATGTCCCCAATACATCTTCCGAACTGGTTGAGGAATATCAGGGTCTGAGCCCCCCATGCGTGAAGTTCAACACCCATAATTTCCTAGCCAGCAAGGCAATGGCTGAATTTGCCAGGTGGTTGAAGCCTCCCGGCCTGGAATTTGCCTCCAGAAGTTGTGGGGGCTCCAACACTGGAGATTTTTAAGAAGAGACCAGACAGTCATGAGTCTGGAATGGTCTAGGGTCCCTGCTTGGGCAGGGGGGGTGGACTAGAAGACCTCCAAGCTCCCTTCCAACTCTTGTTATTCTGTTAAAACTGACAGTTGAGCTCAATGTACTTAAGACACACAGCACACACGGTTAGAGAAAAGACAAACAATGGGGCCGAAATACTTTCCTTCATCACCTGCTAAGAAGTTTCTTTTTTTTTTTGCTTTTAATTTATATGCCGCCCTTCTCCGGAGACTCAGGGCGGCTACAATGCGTTAAGCAATAGCCTTCATCCTTTTGTATATGTATACAAAGTCAGCTTATTGCCCCCACAATCTGGGTCCTCATTTTACCTACCTTTGAAAGGATGGAAGGATGAGTCGACCTTGAGCCTGGTGAGATTTGAACTTGCAGTAATTGCAAGCAGATGATATTAATAACAGTGCTTTAGTCCACTGTACTACAGGCTCTACTACACTGTACTACAGAAGCTGGCCTCCCACTCCCACTGCAGGAGGAGACAGATGGGAGGTCCAACCATAGAGGGGTCCTCCAGGTGGGAGAAAGCAGGGCTCTTTTCACCACAAGCAATTAGGAGGAGGGGGGGGGTCTCTGCAATGGGGTATCCAAGAGCCTCCAAGAGGTATCCAAGAGAAGGATCTTCCACAGATACTGTTTGCCCTCCCCTAAAAGCCGCTGAGGGGTCCCTGGTGTTCTCCAAAGTTGTTTTGATGCAGATGTTTCATTCCCCGAACTAGATCGCCAGGGCCAGAAAGCGCCTCTTCCAGTGGCTTGCCCTGTCCGTGGGGGAGGGGGTGGGGCTGGCCTTGGAGGGTCTTTGGTTGGGCCGTTTACTGTAGGCTTGTTCGGCAGCTTCTTGAATTGGGTATTGTTTACATCTTGGCCCATGGGCCAATCTTCATCTTGGAGTTAATCTACGCTTGTCCGGGTGTTGACTGTTGGGTGGGGAGGTGTTTTGTGGTCTTTCTTCTCTTTAGGCTTGTTGATCTTTGACCTTGTTGAACTCTGCTGCTCTCTGAGCTTGGTGGTTTTCTTGCAGACGTTTCATGACTCAAACTAGGGAACATCATCCATGCTAGAAGGGAGTTGGGTTTGAAACTTCTAGCACGGATGATGTTCCCTAGTTTGGGTCATGAAACGTCAGCAAGAAAACCACCAAGCTCAGAGAGCGCCAAGAAACCCTCGTTTCAACCCTGAGCTACAAATGTTCTCCTTTATCCACACAAACTCTATCTGGTCTCCTGGGGCTCCAAGGACCTTTGGGGCAGGAAGAAGATGAAGAAAAGCAGAGCTTACCCGGAAGGGCTTCATGGAGTTCTGGATTGTGGGCACCATCCACTGGAAGAGGAAGAGCAGAAACAGCCTTTCTCAGTCATGGCTCATGTGGCCCAGGCCTAACCAAGCCCAAAGGGGGGGGGGCCTCTGGCCCTGGGACTCAGACATGCTCCTGGGCAGGAGAATAAGGGGCTGAGGGGGCCCATCTTCACATGGGCAGAAATTCCAGCCGTTTGAGATCCTGGCCCATCAGAGCCAACAGCTGTAGGGCCGTTCTAGGGCAGCCTTGACCAGAAGGGGCCATTCTGGTCCACTCAAGAGGGAGCCCGGCTGGGGAAGGGGCTCCTGAGCTTGGGACAGTCCTGCCCTCCCGGCCTTCAAGAGTGCAAGCCTGAGGAAGCCTCGGGGGTCTTGGGCTCACTGAAGCCCACCCTGGAGCCACTGCCTCCCCTGAAGGTTGGGAAGCCTCCTCCGTGGTCGGGATCAGAGGCCTTGCTGGTCTTCCCCTTCATTCAGAAGCGCTAGCGACTCCGTGCAGGGCTAGCGCTGGGCCTTGTCCTCAGCCCAGAAGGGGGCAATCCTGCAGCCTCCCAGGGCCGCCCCACTCCCCTCCCAGCTCTGGGTGCACCAGAAATCTCCTGCTTCAGGAAGAACCGGTTATCCACACGAGAGGCAAGAGGCGAACCTGCCACAGGGCTCATCCTTGGAGTCATGGATGAGGAAAGAGGGCAGGCCCAGAACCACCCCACTTACCTGCTGAATCAGCCCCACCAGCAGCTGCAGAAAGAAGAGCTGGAGGAGGAGGAAGAGGAAGAGGAAGGCCAGGGTGAGTGCAACCAGCCAAGCAAGCCCTGGTCCAGCCCAACCACTCCTGGTCCCTCTAAAGCTCCAGCTTGCAGGTTCCTCAGCACTGGACAATTTCCACAGAAAACGTGGCCTAGAACTCACTGAAGCTGCCCTCCGTGGACTCAGCAGGGCCACAAGGGGCCGGAGCCTCCAGGGTGACCTGCTCTGGCTGCAAAAGGGCCCGGCTGAAATCCCCTCCAGCCACCAGGGTCAGCCTAGATGACCGAGGCACCTCCAGTGAGCAACGCAGCCAGCGCAGCTCACTTCTACACTGAGCTGCCTGCGGAGGTGGTGACAGGTGGCCTCCCACCAGCCTATCAGTACACGGAGTCCTCGACATACGGCCACAGTTGAGCCCCAAATTTCCATTGCTCAGTGGAAGTGAGCTTTGCTCCATTTTACGACCTTCCTTGCCACAAACGAATCACTGCTGTTGTTAAGCTAGTAAGTGAAACTGGGCTCCCCACAAAGGTCGCAAAAACCAATCAAATTAACCCTGGCGGGACACTGTGACCGTCATAAATACGAATCAGTTTCCAAGCAGCTGAATTTTGATCATGTGACCACAGGGATGCTGCAACGGTCATTAAGTGTGAAAAATGGTCACAAGTCACTTTTTCAGTGCCGTTATAACTGGGAATGGCCACTAAACAGGAAAAGCAGCTCCTCCTCCTCCTCCTAAGCCCCCTGCCCCCCACCCAGGGGGGGTTGGAGGGAGGGCCCTTCCGGGAAGAGGCTCACCATCTCAAAGAGCCTCCGCAGAAGGAAGCGCTTCCGGATCCGTGGGGAACGAGGGAAGTTCAGCTCGTAGCACAGAGTCGGGGCCAGCAGGAAGTAGTAGAGGTCTGCAGGGGGGGAGAGAGGGGGCAGGGCAGACCCTCATTGGGAGGCGGAAGCGAAGGCCGGGGGTCCATCTCCCACGAAGGGGCGGAGGGAGAGGGCACGGGCCACATCCACATCCAGACTGGGTGGCATGGTCACCGTCCTGCTGGCCTTGCTTTGCATCCTGCCAGCCTGACATTTTGCAACCGGGGAGAGGGGAGAATGGAATGGGGGTGGGGGGTCTGGGATCCAAGCAGTGATGGCCTAGCGAGGCGGGGTGCCCTAATCCGGCCCAAGGGCACCTAAAAGAGTGCGGAGAAAGGGCGGGCACAGAGGGTCCGTTGCCCAAACAACCTGAAACTTTTTAATTGGTCAAAGACGGACAAGAGGGGAAAGTCCTGCGGAGAAAGGAAAGTTAAGTATATGGTTTGCACCCAAAAAAATGCCAGATCTGGCTTCACTACTTCTGTAACCACTTTTGCTCCAGGAAAGCATTATTTTCCAAAGCCCCTGAAGGCAGGACAAGCAGCAAGGGACGGAAAATAACCAAGGAGAGAAGCAACCTGAAATTAAGGAGGAATTTCCTGACAATGAGAACAATTAACCAGTGGAACGGCTTGCCACCGGAAGTTGTGAATGCTCCAACTCTGGAAGTTTTTAAGAAAAGACTGGACAGTCAGCTCTCTGAAATGGTCTAGGGTTTCCTGCTTGAGCAGGGGTTGGACTAGAAGACCTCCAAGGTCCCTTCCTGCTCTATTCTGATTGATTGAAAGTATACTCTTGGTCAAAAGAATGAGCCGGGGGGGGGGGTCTTTCTTTACTTATTTACTTGTGGGGTGGATGACCTGGGAGGACAAAACACCACCACCAATGGCCCACAACCGCTCAGTTCCTGCCCCTCCCACGAGACCCCCTGGTCTCCTCACCTCTGTAAGTCAGGTTGTCTGGGTAGGCCACCTCTTGTGGAATGGCGCTCCCGTTGGCCTTCTGTGGCCCCGAAGCTGGAACAGAAAGAGACGGTGGTCACCTGATCCAGTTAGAGACCCCTTGCTATGCCACCGTCTCTGAGGGAGTCACAAGGAAGCTCTTCTCGTCAGGTGTAGGACCTCTTCCGCCACAACACAAGCAGTGGGGCTCCTGAGGAACCCAGATCAGAGGAGGGCCCTCTACGCTCACCTGTGTGTCCTCGGGCGGCTTTCGCAGACCTCTTCTCCCGGCACCACTTGTTGAGGTCCCTGAAGGAGAAGAGCTTGAGGAAGAAGATGGTGTGGACCGAGAGGGCAAAGATGGCCCCAACTGTGGAAGAAGATGGGAAAGAGAAGGTGAGAGGCTTCCCTGATCACCTGGCCTCTGAGGCGGGGTAGCCCCAGAGAATTCATGGCCATGGTGAAGAATCCAAGACTCGGCTCAGGAGGAAGGATGGGGCAAAGCTCTCTGAACTTGGCGTCTCTAGAAGGCTGGGAGGGAGAAGTCCACTGCAGCCTCAGATTCTTCCCTCTCTCCTCAACCATGAAATAGCCCAAACATCTGGGGGCCCATGGTCAGCACACAGAGAAGCAGCTTTCCCATGTGTTGCTTGGTGGCTTTGGAGGCCCTCCCGAGACCTCTGCGAACAAGAACTCATCAAATGTTCAGAGGACACCAAGCTGGCAGGAATAGCCAACCCTCCGGAAGATGGGCTCAAGATCCAGAAGGGTCTCAAAGGACTTGAACTCTGGGCCCTATCCAACAAAAAGAAGCTCAAGGGTGAGAAACGTAAGGTTTTGCACTTAGGCAACAAAAGCCAAATGCGAGGGATACAATAGGTGGAACCTGGCTCAACAGCAGTAACTGCGTGAGGGATCTCGGAGTCCTAGTGGATGATCACTTGAAGGTGAGCCAGCCGTGGGCCAAAAAAGTTGCCAAAAAAGCCAATGCAATCCTAGGCTGCATCAACAGAGGGAGAGGATCAGGATCCCATGAAGTGTTAATAAGGCCTTGGGAAGGCCACACGTGAATCCTGCATCCAGTTTTGGTCACAATAGAAAAAAAGTTGAGACTCTGGAAAGAGAGCAGAGAAGAGCAACAAAGATCATATGGGGACTGGAGGCTAAAACATATGCAGAACGGTCGCAGGAACTAGGCCTGGCTAGTCCAGTGAAGAGAAGGACCAGGGGAGACAGGAGAGCCGTCTTCCAAGATTTGAGGGGCTGCCACAAAGAAGGAGGGGTCAACCTCTTCTCCAAAAACCAGAAGGCAGGACAAGAAGCAACAGATGGAAAGCAACCAAGGAGAGAAGCAACCCAGAACTAAGGAAAAACTTCCTAACAGTGAGAACAATTAATCAGTGGAACTGCTTGCTACCAGAAGTTGTGGGTGCTCCATCACTGGAGGTTTTCCAGTGTCCGGAATGGTCTAGGCCATCTCCTGCTTCAGCAGGGGTTGGAATAGATGACCTCCGAGGTCCCTTCCAACCCTGTTATGTCGTTAAGTCCGACCGTGCTGGCAGGAAAGTAGGAAAGATGCAGCCCCATCCAGGAACAGCTGATGGGACCAGGACAGGCTGTGTTCAGGCAAGGCAGTCCAGGCACCAGGTTGCCCCAAGACACCCCCCACCCCCACCCAGCCCATTTGCAGGAGACCCCCGTGGCAGGAGAGCACCCACCTGGAGTAATGGAGGTGACTGCCAGCACCACCAGGGCAGGGAAGCACAACACCATCAGGAGGTTGAATGTGTGCAGGATGGTCCCGCTACGCTCTGACAAGGAGCCCTGAAGCACAAAGAAAAGGGGCTGAATCAGAGGACCCTCCCTCCCTCCCTCCCCAAAAAAGGCTTGAGCCCAGCCCAGACACGCCTTAGTCGATATCCTGCCCAATCAGGACTTCCTGGAGGGCAACTGCCTGTCAGATCTGGAAAAGCGGCATCAGGGATGTCCAATCGTGGTAGCATTAACACTTGTGGACTTCAACTCATGCTGGCTGGGGAATTCTGGGAATTGAAGTCCACAGGTCTTAAAAGTTGCCAAGGCTGTGTATCCCCTGCCCTACATCACCATCGTCTTTTAATGACCCCGTAATCCCTTGTAGGGTGGAATCTGGGCAACTGAAGGAAGCTAGCTGAGTGTTTTAAAGCCCTGATGCCCTTCCTGTTGCCAATGAGGATTATATTCTCATGGTGCTGAGAGAGAGAAATATCTTCTCCTACCTAGGATCAAACTCACAGCCTCCTGATTGTGAGGCGAGAGCTTCACCTCCAGGCCACTGCACCACTCCCATCCCCAGCCCTACATCCAGCCCTAAAAAGGTCACCCTAAAACAGTGTTTCTCAACCTTGGCTGCTGGACGATGTGTGGACTTCAACTCCCAGAATTCCCCAGCCAGCTGGGAGTTGAAGTCCACACATCGTCCAGCGGCCAAGGTTGAGAAACACTGCCCTAAAAGAAAGCCAGAGACAACAGCCACCTGTCTCTCTTGCTCATTGCCCTTTGGCCAGGGCCAGCTGCCACGAATGGCAAAGGGCACAGGTGTGGTCCTCCACTTACAACCACAGTCGAACCCAAAATTTGTTGTTAAGCGAGACAGTTGTTAAGTGAGTTTTGCCCAATTTTATGACCTTCCTTTCCATAGTTGTTAAGCGAATCACAGCAGTTTTTACGTTAGTCAAACGGTTGTTAAGTGAATTCATAAATATGAATCACTAGTCAAGCATTTGACATTATGACCATGGGGAGGCTACAATGGTCATTAAATGTGAAAACGGGTCATAAGATACTTTTTTTGGTGCCGTCATAACTTTGAACGGTCACTACACGAACTAGTAAGTCAAGGACCACCTGTACTTAGGCCATCGAATGTCAAATTTCCAGGAGGAGACGTGATCCTCTGACTGAGATGGGAGTCTCTAAATTTGGTATTAGCTTTATTTAAGAAAATTTATACAGCTGCCCAGGTCCTTCTCAGTGACTCCAGGCGGCTGACAAAAGGTAAAAGCCTAATATAAAACATTAAAAATCAATCACCCACAGCTGGGTCCCTGGGGACAAGAGTCAGCCAAGTAATTGGTCTGCAAATAAATGAAGTAAAACAAATAGAAGACAAAGGACGGCAACCCAACCCATCATCCCCGCTCACCGCTGCAAGCTTCTTCTCTACGTGGAGGGCCACCAGGGCGAAACCGTTGGCCGCTGAAAAGGAAGGCAGAAGGACGCTGGACTCAGTCACAGACAAGCCGGCCCCGAATCTGGGCCCACCTGCTCCCCCAAAAGCCGCGGGCTTCCCTCGCCACTAAACCTGTGGGGGAACCCCCTTTCTACTGGAAGATCCTCTCAGCCCTCTCCATGTCATGCCAGAGAGTGTCCCGAACTACATCCACCCCCCCACAGCAACGTTTCAGGGGCTCAAGCAGTAGAGGCAGCAAGAACCCACCTCCCCTCACCTCCCCATCCCCAAGGGACAGAAAAGTGGGGAGGCCCAGCTGACTTACCAATAATAAGGCATGGAGCTGGCCAGCTGTAGGGATCCTTCAGAAACAAGGAGATGACCTGGATGGGGTCCACCAGAATGCCATACCTGAAAAATAAAGAATCTTGTTGGGTGCAGGCCCACGGGTTGTTGTGAGATGTGTGAGATTGGCAGCCTGTCAGTCGCCCCTCTGCAAAGTGTTGTCTATTTGCAGCCCAAAGCCAAGCTCTGTGGAGCTTGAGGAGTCCCTGGTGCTCTCTGAGCTTCCTTGTTTTCTTGCAGACGTTTCATTACCCAACTAGATAACATCATCAGTGCTAGTCCTCTGTAGTTTGAACACTGCCCCCCCCCCCCCCCCGCCCTGAATCTGTCCCAGAGGATTCCAAGATGATTAACCAAGGGGAAGAGTGGCCTGGGTAGAGAAGGATCTCAGGATGAAAGAATGGGGTGGGAGGCCCTTAGTATCTTCAGAGTGGGGGAAATGGTTTAAATCAGGCTTTGCCTCATGCATAAGGCCGCATTTTATGTTGGGAGGCGTGCATGCACACCACGCACTGCTCCAATGCCTCCCTCTTGTGACTGTGAGCTTTGCCCGCTGTAGGGGAAGGGAGCAGACAGCCCTCCATGTTTGGAGAAAGATATTCGATGTGCATATGGCACGGGCCTGGAGTGGAGTGGGCCATCTTTGAGGTCACCGTGGAGGGGCTGAAAAAGATCAGCCTCTAAGCCAGGGGTGTCCAACCTTGGGCACCTTGAAGACTGGTGGACTTCAACTCCCAGAATTCCCCAGCCAGCTGTAGTCTCAATTTGGAAGGCAAGAGACGGAGGAGGGCATGCAGAGCAATGTGGAGCCACAGGGTGGCAGCACCTCCCTTGCCCATCTGCTAGAAATAGAAAATGGCCAGGCAGCTTCCCAGCCTGGTACCCTGGCTGGCATGGCGGCAACAGGGGCTGCAGGACCACCAGATCTGGTCTGAGTCTCTCAGCTGGGGCTGGGGCTGCGGGGGGGGAGGACACCCCCTTTCCTAGTCCATTCAGTCGCAGTTTTGTTCCGGAGAGTATCAGCCTTGTGAACTCTCAGCTTTCCTCTTTCCTCCATTATGTATTCAGAATGGACAGTGATTAATAAATATATACATGGATATATACGTACGGGTGTAGGTATATATATATAATCTGTGTTATGTATATAAATGGGTGTATATATAATTTCTTTTGAAAACAGGCAACAGAATTTCGTTTTTAAGATGTGCCAATGAGCTCACAGTAAAAAACATAAGGAGTTTATCTTATCTTTTATCCAATAGCTTCACTACGATCTACAGGGCTTAGATGCCTATGGAGATTCTCCATCATCCAAATCACGATCGCCCCAAGGGGGCTTTTTCCAAAAGGTTTTTTTCCTTTGAAAATGTTTCGCTTCTCACCCAAGAAGCATTTTCAGTTCTGACTGAATGGTGGGGAAGGGAAGGATTTATGTTCCTATTGAAAGGGAGACTCTGATGGGTTCCGTGCCATGCCTAACCTGACTTGGCACCCAAGGGCAATCCCTTGCGAAGGGGTGGCCCTGTTGCCCTCCGTCACCTTGTGAGCCCCTCCCTCCTGGGGAAGAGGCTGGGGAGCAGGGCCTTCAGGTGGGGGGCTCTCCTGGCAAGGCTCGAGTGGAGACTTACTTGATGAGGTTCTCCAGGAAGAGGCGGGCGTTGCTGAGGACCTGCAGGGAAAGAAGACGGTCAGGGCAGGAAGGGGAAGGGTCCCCTCAACTGGGGGCTCAGGAGGAGCCCGCAGCTGAAGAACGAGGGTCCGAGTTAAGCCCAGGAAGAGACCCGGCCTGGGCCAGAGAAGCCAGCACGGGACAGGCCTCACACGAGATTTACCAGTGTGGCTAACAACTCTAAAAATGATTTTTTTAAAAAAAAAAAGAAAGTATTTGGCCAAAAGAAAGGAGTAGTAAATAAGAACAACAATACAGATAGTCCTTGACTTATGACCACAATTGAGCCCCAAAATTTCCATTGCTAAGCAAGACACTTGTTAAGTCAGCTTTCCCTACTTCTTCCCACCTTTCTTACCAATGTTGTTAAGTGAACCACCCTAGTTGTTAAGTGAATCTAGCTTCCCCACGGACTTTGCTGGCCAGGTGGTCACAAAAAGGGGATCACATGACCACCACCACAACTGTCGTAAGTATGAGTCAATTGCTGAGCGCCTGAATTTTGAATCATGTGACCATGGGTTACTGCAATGGTCGTAAGTGTGACGAAAGGTCATAAGTCCTTTTTTTCAGTACTGTCGTAACTTTGAGCAGTCACTAAATGAATTGTTGTAAGTCGAGGTCTACCTGTATTATTTACCTTACGAGGAGAACATAACAGAGTACACACACACACACACACAACATCCACATGATTATATCCAGAACTCAGATGGGGATTCTGGCAGTGGCATCCTCATAATTGGATGCGCCGTTCAGCCATCCAGGCGATCTCGCCTCTGGCCTGACTCCCTGCAGAGAACGCAGAGGGTGAACCTTGCACAATGCACTTTAATCGTTCGCTTATCAGCACCGCAATCGCAACGAGCGGAAACTTTCCATCTCCGCTGATACAGAGCAGGGGCAGGCCTTCCAGGATCACACCTAATTCTGTTCAGTTTTTGTCCAGACAGAGCCAGGCAGGTCAAAACCAGCGGGTGGCCAACCTTGGCAAATTGAAGACTTGCGGACTTCAACTCCCAGAATTCCCCAGCCTGTTTAGCCGGCTCTCCCCAAATTCAAGACTTGCAGAATCAAAACTTGCAGCATCTGTGTGTGTGGGAGGGAGGGAGGGAGGGGGTGGGTGGGTGGGGTGAGAGGATGTACCCCCCAGGCACTGGAGGGGCCTTGCCATGTCAGGCGGGCGGTTACAAGGCAGGGGATCCCACAACTTCAGGGCAAAGGTTGCCAAGAGCAAAGGGGAAATGTGTAAAGAACACTTTGGACTCCCTCTCCTCCCCCAGGTTAACCAATCCTGAGAGCCGACTGGGAGGCAACCTTTGGAGGGCTCGCTGGGTCTCTGGAGGGCAGATGGGATGGCAGTGCCATGCACCACCACACCCTGGTTGAAGGTCAAGAAGCCAGCGTGGCAAGGGATTGCCACTGCCAGTTAGGAGAGGAGCCTAAAGCAGGAAGACGGGGGATGGCGGAGGTGCCCTTCTTGTGGTTCACGGGCGGAGGGGCACCCCACTTTTTCTTAAGATCTTGTGACGGAGAAGCCATCTGCCCAGAGATGGACCCTACTAGCAATGCAGTCCTCTGCCAGGGCGGCCAGCAGTGGGCATTCCACCAACAGGGACAGCAAGTCCTTCTCTTTAGATGAGGGGGGTCCAACCTTGGCAACTTTAAGACCTGTGGACTTCAACTCAGACGACAGCTGGGGAATTCTGGGAGTTGAAGTCCACAAGTCTTAAAGTTGCCAAGGTTGGGCACCCCTGGTTTAGATGAATGGACTCCTCAGAAAGCGTAAGTTTCACAAGACGTTGCCCCAAAGGAGCCTCTGGTCCACATGAACAAACATACGAAGAACGGTTGCAGCAAGTGGGAACGGCTCGTCTAGTGAAAAGAAGAACTAGCAGTATTGCAATATTGGAGGGGCTGCCCCAAAGAAAAGAGGGGGGGAGGGGGTCAACCTATTCTCCAAAGTACCCGAAGGCAGAACAAGAACAACGGATGGAAACTCATCAAGGAGAAGCGCAACCTGGAGTTCAGGAGAAACTTCCCTCCAGAAGTTGTGGGGGCTCCACCACTGGAGGCTTCTAAGAAGAGACTGGATAGATACTCGTCTGGAATGACATAGGCCGGGGTCTCCTGCTTGAGCAGGGGGTTGGACTAGAAGACCTCCAGGGTCCCTTTCAACTGTGTTATTCTTCTGTTTTTCTGAGTGGTGCCCTCTGGCCCAGTTGGCTGAAATGGGCTATTAGACTATCTTGCTTGGCACAGCTGTGCACCAGCGGGTGCAGCTGGCAATCAGATCCCCCCTTACAGGAGAGGCAGATCTGCAGTGCGGACGGCCCTTGGGAGCGAGCCCAGTGCTGCGGCTGTTTGTCCTGCAGTTGCCCCAGCCTCATAAGGTCAGCCTTCTGGATGCCAGGAGCCCTCCCAGCACCATTCTCCTTCCCCCGTGTTGACTCTAATGACCCTCAAGATGCAGAACTTGCTTGGAGGTCACCACCATGATCCGGGATTAAGTTCCCCATAAAATTCCTGGAGACTGAAGCCGTTTTTCCCAGGGAAGATGCCCTCAGGAGCCTCAGTGGGCATCCTCCGAGCATTGAAATGGCCCATTAAGAGCTGCCCTCCCTCGGTGTGGCTGCTGGCAACCGGATCTGGGGTCCTCTGGACTGATCTTCCCTGCAAAAGCGCTTGAGGAAGCTCCACAACTGGACAAGTGGAACGCTGGGAGAACAGGGGGGAGGAGAAACAGGGCAGTCCTCTAGCAGACCAGGGATGTCCAACCACGGCCACCTCAAGAGGTGTGGACTTCAACTCCCAGAATTCCTCAGCCCAGCCATCCTGGCCTGGGGAATTCTGGGAGTTGAAGTCCACAGATCTTGAAGTGACCCAGCTTGGACATCCCTGGTCTAAGGGAACATTTTTCATGCTAGCTGGGGAATTCTGGGAGTTGAAGTCCACACCTCTTAAAGGCGCAGAGTTTGCAGACCTATGCTAGCAGAGAAACATCCGGCGGCTGTCTGAAGGCCTGAAGCCTTCCCTCCAAACTAGAAGCCTGGAAGACCCCAACAGAAGGTGCCTCTAGGACATGGAAGAAGATGACCGTCACCTCCCACCCCGGAGGGTCCCTCGTCTCCAATACCCTCAGCCATTCCTCCCGAGAAGCCAGAATCGCCACTGAAACGCTCAAATCTCTTTCCCTTGGCCCGTTTCCCAGCAGTCAGTCCCAGCACAAGCCGCCACTCATCCCAAGCCAAAACGGCTAGGCCGCTGGGCTGTTGAAACCAATGTCCTGTCTGTCCTGCAAAGTGGCCGCTGAAAGTGTCTGCCTGGCGGGCTGCCAGCTTTCACGGCCCAAGGCCCAAGAAATGCAGCTGGCGTCTGCCGCCTGGGGATGCCAAGGGGCAGCGAGCCAGGAACCGGGGATGGCAGGGGCTACTCACCAGCATGACCACGCACCAGTTCAAGATGCCCCGGTAGTTGCTGAAGCCGCTGGCGGAGCTGAGCAGGGAATCCTGCAGCTTGTGACACCTGGGCAGGAGAGAAGGAGGAGCCACGGGTCAGGCTGGGTTTCAAAGGGAGTTGGAGTCCAATACAGGCAGTCCTCAATGGAGCCCAAAATGCCTGTTGCTACACGAGATAGTTAAATGAGTCTTGCCCCATTTTATGACTTTCTTGTCAAGTTCTTAAGCGCATCGCTGCAGTTGGGACAGCCCTTTGTCTGAAAAGCTATGCAGGGTTTCCTGCCTGAGCAGGGGGTTGGACTAGAAGACCTCCAAGGTCCCTCCCACCTCTGTTATTCCCCTGATTGGAGCGGTGCCCTCTGGGCCAGCTACTGGTTTAAGAAAACTGGACTCTGTACATCAGTTGTTAAGTGAGTCACATGGGTTGTTAAGTGAATCTGGCCTTCCCCATTGACTTTGTTTGTCAGGAGGTCACAAACGGGGATCCCATGAGCCCGGGACGCTGCGACCGTCATAAATATGAGTCAGTTGCCAAGTGTCTGAATTTTGATGACGTGACCACAGGGGAAACTGCAACGGTCGTAAGTGTGAAAAGTGGTCACAAGTTACTTTTTCCAGTGCTGTTTTAACTTGGAACGGTCCCTAAACGAGTTGTACACGCTGGTTGCCAAGCATTCAAATGTCGATCACGTGGTCACGGGGATGGTGCAACGGTCGTAAGGGTGAAACGCCATCGTAAGTCACTTTTTTCAGTGCCATTGTAACTTTGCATGGTCAGTAGGTGAGCGGCTGAGAGTTGAGCCCAGAATCCTTGGGGGGTGAGGAAGGCAGGTCCAGCACTGGGTGGACACTGGCAACAGCCACAGGAAGGGCCTCGGAGGTCCTGAAGTCGGTCCCCCAGGAGGCCAAGCATTCTGAGTGCCACTCCTCCTGCACTTCCCGCAGCTGCCCAGAGCCTCCAAACTGAACCTCACTTTGCCCATCATCCCCTGCCGGGCACCAAGAGCAGGGCAACCCCCCCACACACACACATATACAGAGCTATCCTGCCTCCCACCCAAAAACACACATCAGCTTCCCAAGCTTCTCCCCTCTGGTCCCAAACATGAAATTGCCAAATATATATATATAATATATATATTTGGCAACTTCATGTTTAATATATATATATATATTAATATATATATTATATATATATATTATATTATATACATATTATATTATAACCAAGCCCCCACCTAAACAGAACACACACCCATCCAATCAGAGCACAGCCAACCTCCCATCCAATCAGAGCACAGCCAAACCCCCAACCAATCAGAACACACCTCCGCCCAATCAGAACACAGCCAAGCTCCCACCCAATCAGTTCACACACCCCCTGGCAGTTAAAAGGAAGAAACAGCTGCCATCACACACATTGCTCCTAGAAGCACGAAGCCGAGAACACCAGCCTGAAGATGACGAATGAGAATTCGTCGAAACGTTGCCAAGAAACCTCCAATTTTACGCGGGAGAAAACCCGAATAACCAAAGACCTATATTATATTATATATATAGAAATATATATATATTTCTCAGCAGTTTTGCTGCCCTAAAGCAGGGCTCTCCAACCTTTAAACCTTTCCTAGCTGAAATGCAGAAGACGACTTCTTCTTGTCCTTGGGCACAAGAGGCTCCATGCCTGGACCCGCCTCTCTCCTCAACCAACCTTGGTCCTCCAACATCTTCAGATGTTGAGAACCTTCATAACTGGAATTGTCTCTCTCAGCTGGGCCAGCCCAAAACCTCAGGGGAAGCCTGGCATTCGAGCCCAGTTCTCCCAGCACAAGGCAACGTATTGGATTTCCCAAGATGTCCGTCATTTGCATCTCTAGAAGTCAACATGCCAGGGCCCAGACACAGGTGTCCACATCTTCCTTCTGGTGTCCACACCCTCTGAACGTGGCCAGAGATCAACTCTGCTTCCCGAGATCAAAGTCGGCAAAACCAAGATTGCCTAACCCTTTTATAAAAATGATGGCTCTTTCCACGGATTTCACTGCACGTTGTTTGTCGACTTGGGTGGTCTTTGAAAAGTCACACACACACACACAGAGTAAGTTCAGAGGTTAGGGCTTCTCAGCTATGGGGGCAACTCTGAGAAGGCTGTAATGGTCCTTTTGAATGCTGCACAATCCAGACTAACAGACTGTCAGGTTGAAACCCCTGGCTGAGTAAGAAACTCCCTGTGAAAGATTTCTGCTTGGCGATTCGGTAGGAAAGGGATTGTAGTTGGTGACCAAAACCACTTCCTTTTCTCCTGGGGAGGCCGTGTTGTAGCATTTTTCTGCCAGAGGGGATTTTTTCCAGCTTTATCAGGGGCCTTCAGTGGGGGGTAATCCGGGATATCTCAAGAAGAGAGTACAGAATAGGATACGGAGTAACAGAGTTGGAAGGGACCTTGGAGGTCTTCTAGTCCAACCCTCCACTCAATCAGGAGACCCTAACCCATTCCAGACAAGTGGCTGTCCAGTCTCTTCTTGAACACCCCACCCCACCCCCGTGATGGAGCACCCACAACTTCTGGAGGCAAGGAGTTCCACTGATGGATTGTCTTCACTGTTGGGAAGTTTCTCCTTAGTTCCAGGTTGCTTCTCTGCTTGATTGGTTTCTATCCTATTGGTTTCTATTGGCTTCTTGTCCTGCCCTCAGGGGCTTTGGAGAATAGGTTGACCCATTCTTCTTTGGGGCAGCCCCTGAGATATTGGAAGACTGCTATCATGTGTCCCCTAGTCCTTTTCATTAAACGGGTAGTCCTCATTTGGCAAGTGCCTCATTTAGCAAACATCTGGTGTTTTAAAAAAAGAAAGAAACCCCACCTTTACGATCCGTCCTTGCCTCCATAACATCGCAGTGTCCCACAGTGACACAATCACCATCTGCACACTTCACAACTGGCTTTCCACAAGCAGAGTTCATGGAGAATGCAGAAATGAAAATTGCAAGTCACGGTCATGAGAAATTTTGCTTAGCAACTGAGCTGCTGGTCCAATTGGTGTTGCTAAGTGAAGACTACCTCTAAAGAGTAGTTTTAGACTTTGGAAAAACTGCAGAAAAGAGCAACGAAGATGATGAGGGGCCCGGGGGATAAAACATACGGAGAACAGTTGCAGGAATTGGGGATGTCTAGTTTACTGAAAAGAAAAGAAAAGAAAAGAAAAGAAAAGAAAAGAAAAGAAAAGAAAAGAAAAGAAAAGAAAAGAAAAGGACAGCAGTCTTCCAATATCTGAGCGGCTGACCCAAGAAAAGGGGGTCAACTTATTTTCCAAAGCCCCTGAAGGCAGGACAAGAAGTTTCAGATGGGAACTAATCAAGGAGAGAAACAACCTGGAATTAAGGAGAAACTGCCTAACAATGAAGGCGATTAATCAGTGGAACGGCTTCCCTCCAGAAGTTGTGGCTGCTCATCCCTGGAGGTCCTTAAGAGGAGACCGGACGGCCCCTTGTCTGAGATGGTCTAGGGTTTCCTGCTTGAGCAGAGGGTTGGACTAGAAGACCTCCAAGGTCCCTTCCAACTCTGTTATTCATGTCAAAAGCCGGGTTCTTACTGGACTCCACCCACTCCCACTTTGAAGTCTCTGCTGGCCGCTCTTGCTTGAGGAACTTCCCACCCCACCCAGGTGAGCAACTCCTCCACCTTTCAACATTCGGCCCCAGGTTGGAAGATCCTGTTAATCTCCAGCTATGAATCGTTCTGGAGCCGCCTGCAGGAAGGAGCCCTGCCTGTGCCTTCCCTCCCAAGCCCTCTCTGGCCACATGTGGCCCTTGGAGCCCCAGCTGCCTTGACCGATGGGGAAAAGGGGCCCGGGTGCCTCATGCCTGGCCAGCCCCTTCCTGCTTGCAAGTACCAAAAAAACCTTAGGGGTCCAGACTCTCCTTGAGGCCACTGCTCCTGGACGGGGGTCGAAGGGCTCTCTTCCATACGGGAGTCTGTGGCTTCCCTGTCACCAAGTGGCAGGAGGACAAGAAAAGGTGGCACAGGAGCAAAAACATCCCCACATACATGACAGGTTCCTGCATGTCCTTTAATCGAATGACCAACTCTGGAAACTTCTCCAGCAGAGACTCTGCGGAGATTCTCCATCCTCCCGGTCACCATTCTCCCAAAGGGGCTTTTTCCTGGTTTTTCTTCTTGAAGACGTTTTATTCCTCATCCAAGAAGCTTCTTCAGTTCATCGTTCACTTCTTCATGAACTGAAGAAGTTTCTTGGATGAGGAGCAAAAATGTTTTCAAAGCAAAAGCCAAGGAAATCCAGTTGCCTTTTGGAAAAAGCCCCTTCAGGCCCGAGCGTGGGCATTCCATCCACAAAACAGGAACCCCTCTGACAGACACCCCGTGGCCCCCAACTCTCTGGGGTCCTATGGGGGTTACGATGTCAGTGTTCCTGATGCTGTTCCCAACTGATATTTCAAGGTGGGCTTTAGGGTCAAGCAAAAACCGAAGCCCAACTGGGCTACGGAGGACCCTCCATCGTGCCAAGATCTGGACTTTGGAAGTCGATGGGGTGGAAAGAGGCCATTGGTGTAGAATTGCTCATTTGTAAACTTTGGCCAATTTCTGGAAAGGAGATGGAGCCAAAGCGGTTCCTGCAAAGGAAGCAGTTACTGGGACTACTGGCTGAGCTCCAAATACTTCCCTTGCCTCTCAGTGCCAACCTCTGGCCCCAAAGATGCCCCACCTCCATCCAGCCCTGGGGAGAAGCCTTGCCAGGGCACATTAGTCAGCAACCTGCGGCTCTGCAGCCGCATGTGGCTCTTTCAGCCCTCTGCTGCAGCTCCTTGTCACTCAAAATATCACTCACAGCTGCCAATGTGTGACACCTGCTGGCACACAATTTATTGAGCTTTTCAACCCCCAGTAGGCCAACCATGGATAAATCCAAGAAAAGAAAAGTTTCAGAAGAAAACAGAACATTTAATTCAAGTACATATGGTAGTTTTGTGTCTGCTCAGGAAATAGTCAGGCACGGGAAGGGTTTTGTGGCTCCCGGTGTTTTCTTTTCCGTGGGAAACGGGTCCAAATGGCTCTTTGAGTGCTTAAGGATGCAGACCCCTGCCCTAAACAAGTCCGGTGCCTCGTTGGTTAGGACCCCTCGGATGCCTGCCTGCCTGGTGAGAGATGGGCGTTTGACTCAATGCCAAATTGCCTGATTCAGACTTGACTACTGTTCTGCATGATTCAAGGGCCTCCCCTTTGAGACAGCGGCCGGCTGCCCCTCTGGGATGAGGGTGGCAGGGAAAAGGCCCTGCGTCTGACAAGAGGGCCTCTACTCCCACCGCAACTTGCCTGCTCACCTAGGCACCCTCCCAACCAGGGTGAAGAACACCGTAGCCAAATGGCCTTATTAACGGACCATTAAGCAGGAAAGCCAGTGGAGGTGGGGGGAGGGGGACATTGACATTGGACCCTCAGGTCACTTTGGAGCCTTATGCGTTTCTCAGTCTGCCCTGCGCCTTTTCTGCTCCCTTAAGAATTTGCTCCGGGGCTAAAACCCCAAATCCCCCATAGAAAAACCTGGCGGAGCCTGTTCATCAGGGTAGCAAGGAGCTCTGCCCCCCCCCCCCCCGCCACATTCCAGAGAAGGAAAAAAACTCCAGATCAGGGTTTCTCTGAAGAGGGAAGCCCCCAGGCTTCTCCTCCCGAGTCAGGGCATGGGCCCTTCCCTGTCAGGAGGAAAACCGTGGGAGGGGGCTCCTACTACAGGCCCCCTCCAGCCCCAGCACACAGAGAGTCGGTGGGAGCAGCAACAGCTGCTGCAAAACTCTGCCTCCCCCCAAGCCCAGCCCAACAGGTCAAAGCACAGCTGAGCCTCTTCCGTGTTCCCACCCAAGGGCCTCCCCCAGGGCAGGAGACCAGAACATCTGGGAACACGTGGCTCGGTCTGCAAGCGGTGCCCATGGCAAAGTCTACGGGGCGCCAGGATAACATTGCAGGATCCCATCCGAGTCGGTCACCGGGACCAGAGTTTCCTTCTTCGGGAGCTTTTGGGATGGTGCTGGAGCCCGTCGTCTGGGATCTTCTCTTGGGGAAACTAAGCTCTGCTCCCGGTGACCGACCCAGATTGCCTCTTGCCAAATGAAAAGCCTGTGGAACGCAGGATCCTGAGCTAAGTGCCTGCAGCCTGGCTTCTAGGCTGTAAATTCCGAGGGTGCAAGTTGTTCCGGCACCAGCAGCGGATCAACAATCAAAGCCAACTGTTATGCCAGCCAGGGCGTCAAGGTTGCGGTTCTGCAGCACTCGCTGGGGCACCTCACCAAGTGGGAGAGTCCTCTTTCTCAAAACAAACACCTCGCCCAGGGAATGCCACCCGGGGAGCCAGTTTCTGCATCAGAGGGAGAAAACAGGCCAAGCCTTGGAAACCGACCCAGAAGAGCCCCCAACTCCCCTGTTTGCATAGTGGGCAAAGTGTCAATCCTGCAACCTGCCGCTAATTAGTCAGAATTAATTCACTCAAATGCCTAATCAACCCTTGGCTTAGCCAAAAAAATTGATTCTGAAGTTCAGAATACAGAATAACCAAGTTGGAAGGGACCTTGGAGGTCTTCTAGTCCAACCCCCTGCTCAGGCAGGAAACCCTATCATGTCAGACAAATGGTTGTCCAATCTCTTCTTGGAAACCCCCAGTGTGGGAGCCTTCCCCCCCCAAACTTATGGAGTTAAGCTCTTCCACTGTTCTCATTGTCAGGAAATTTCTTCCAGGTTGCTTCTCTCCTTGATTAGTTTCCATCTGTTGAATGTCTGTGGAGATTCTCCGTCATCCAGGCCAGGGTTGTCCCAAAGGTGCTTTTTCAAGAGCCAACTGGATCTTCTTGTTTTTCTTTGAAGGTGTTTCTCTTCTCATCCAAGAAGCTTCTTCAGCTCTGACTGGATGGTGGGGAATGGGAGGATTCATACTTCTTGCAGACAGCTGGTCATTTCAAGGAGTATAAATCCTTCCCTTCCCCACCATCCAGTCAGAGCTGAAGAAGCTTCTTGGATGAGAAGAGAAACGTCTTCAAAGAAAAACCAGAAAGTCCAATTGCCTCTTGAGAAAAGCACCTTTGGGATTTCCAGCTGTTGCTTCTTGTCCTGCCTTTGGTTGCTTTGGAGAAGAGCTTGACCCCCTCTTCTTTGGGGCAGCCCCTGAGATATTGATAGGACACTTAGCAAGGCAGGGTAGGGACACAGCCCCAGGAGAAGGTGGGAGAAAGCTGCTCTCCCTCCCCTTCCAGCCCCCCTCAGAGGGAGACTCAGAGCTGCTGTTGAAATGCGGATCACCTTTGTCCTGCAAAACTGATGACACAGCCGAGGCAGAGTTCAGTTTCTCTAAGGGTGTGCCAGTTCTTACTATGCTCTGGACTCATTGACTGTAGAATGAGTAAAACTTTCCTGGCTAGGCTTGGGGTCCGTGTGTGTGTGCACACCAGGAAGTCCAAAGGTTTTGCCAACTTTTGGCACAAGCACAGCATGTGCCACGTGAGTTTCCCGTCAAGCTCTTCTGACGTCCAACTTTCACGGAAGGCTGCATGGCAGCGATGTAAGGTCGAGGCAACCAGCAAACAACCGCAGGCAATCATGCTCTCCCCAAAGAAGAGGAACTCGCTTCCTAGCCAAAGTTTTTTCCCCTCCTCTTTCCCTTTTACAACTTGGAAGCTCCTCTCCCACAGCAGAATTTTGAATTTGAAAGAAAGGCAGGAAAAAAAACGCCCCCGCCCCCCCCCCCAGAAAATATAGCTTGACTCTCGGATCCGAATAGAGCTGGAAGAGACCTCGGAGGTCTTCTAGTCCAACCCTTTGCTCAAGCAGGAGACCCTACATCCCATTTCAGACAGGTGGCTGCCCAGTCTCTTCTTAAAAACTCTCCAACCCAAAGCCCAGAAGTGCTCCAACCCACCATGGGGGTCTCAACTCTCACCTCCCTGGCCAATTTTGCCCCCCACCCAAAAACAGTTCCAACAGTTTAAGAACCTCCCCCCCACAAAAAAAATAACCATGCAGAAGCCCTAAATGCAGGGTCCCTGTGGAAACCTCCCCCTTAAATCCCCCCTGTTGAAACCAAGGGGGGGGAGAGAGATCAAGCGGGGCAGCACAGCCCCACACTAGAGGAGGGGGGGGAAGGGAAAGGACCCTAACCCTGCCCCCACCTCGACCCCAAAGGGCAAAAGGTCAAGCGCAGGGACTCACAGGCAGTTTGGGAGGGGGGGGCCCAGAGCACCACATGCACCAAGAGAAAATTCCTTGCGTGGCCAATAAAGAATTCAACTCTATTCCATTCCATTCCAGCTGCAAGAGGGAGGGGGACTCCGACTCCCAGAATTCCCCCGGCCAGCAAGCTGGCCGGGGGAATTCTGGGAGTTGGAGTCCCCCTCCCTCTTGCAGCTGCCAAGGCCCCTGTGCAGGTGGGCTTCCAGAGGCAGAACCAGCCGGGAGGCCAGGAAGGGCGGGGGTCGCTCTCCAGGGGAGGTCACCTGAAGTGGGCGTCGGAGAAGGGATCCGCGCCGTCCCCCGCGCCGCGCTGCGCCGGGCTCGCCTCTCCTGCTCCGCCGCGGGGCTGCCGAGAGCCCCCGCCGCCGGTCCCCGTCCGCCTCTTCGGCTGCTGGGCGCCGTTGCCGCGCTCGCCCATGGCTGTCGGGGCGGCCGGAGGGAGCGCGGGCCCCGCGGCGCCTTCCGCCTCCTCGCCGTCCGTTGCTCGCCGCCCGCCGGGCCCCGCCCCCTCGGAAGCCGCCGCCGCCGCCGCCAGCGCCCAGCCGCTTCGCCTCGGGGACGCCGTAGCTCCGCCCACCGCACGCGCAGCCGCGCCCAGCCCCCTCGCGCTCTCTCTCTCTCTCTCCGCCCGCACGCAGGACCCTCTCGCGCGCCCGCCGGGAAATGTAGTTCCTTTTAAACGCGCCCGCTCGGCGCGCCCGCCAATGGCAAGCGAGGGGGAGGTGCGCGTCCTGGGGGAGGGGCGGGGCTTGGGATTGATGGGCGTGCGATCCTCCGCCTCCAAAACCGGCCCTTAACCCTTGCCTGCCCGCCTCCTTTTCCAGAGCTTTAGTTAGACTATTAGAGGGCGAAAGCGCGGCGGCAGGAGCCCTCCCTTTCCCCTCATCGGGGCATTTGGGCCTTCGATCCGCCCGAGGCTGTCCGTGGATCGCGGGGGCCCTGCTTCTCAACCCGGCCCTCACGGCGCGGAACTACAAGTCCCGAGGAGCCCCGCGCGGCCAGGCACCGCCCACCGGCTCCAGCGCAGACGAGCGGCGCACTCGTCCAATGAGAGAGCGGGGGCGTGGCTGTCCGGGGGCGATGTGCGGCGGTGGAATCGCAGGTGCTGCGAATTGAGGGCGGGGCTGGCCGTTCGGAGAGACCCCACTCCACCCCCACCCCCCCGGGAGTCTGCGGCCCCCCCGCTCCCCCGCCCCTCTCCCGGTGGGGGGAGGACCTGTGACAAAGCCAGGGGGGGTTGCAGGGATACCGCGCTCCGTTCGGGGGTCTCCGCCAGGTGAGCCGCATTAGAGTAGAATGGAGGAGTAGAGTCGTAGAATAGAGTAGAGTAAAAGAGTAGAGTAGAGGACAGTAGAAGAGTAGGGTAGTAGAGGAAAGGAGAGTAGAGTAGAAGAGTAGAGTAGTACTGTTGTAGAACAGAGTACTAGAGTAGAGTAGGGTAGAATAGACCAGAGTGGAGCAGTAGAGTAGGGTAGAAGAGTAGAGTAGAGTAGAGTAGTAGAATGGAGTAGAGCAGTAGAGTAGGGTAGGGTAGAATAGAGTAATAGAGTAGAGGGTAGAATGGAGTAGAGGAGTAAAGTAGAGTAGGGTAGAAGAGTAGAGTATAGAATGGAGTAGAGTAGACTACTAGGTAGAGTAGGGTAGAAGAGTAGAGTAGTAGAGTAGAGTAGAAGAGTAGAGTAGTAGAATAGAGTAGAGTAAAAGAGTAGAGTAGAGGACAGTAGAAGAGTAGGGTAGTAGAGGAAAGGAGTAGAGTAGAAGTAGAGTAGTACTGTTGTAGAACAGAGTACTAGAGTAGAGTAGGGTAGAATAGACCAGAGTGGAGCAGTAGAGTAGGGTAGAAGAGTAGAGTAGAGTAGAGTAGTAGAATGGAAGAGCAGTAGAGTAGGGTAGGGTAGAATAGAGTAATAGAGTAGAGGAGTAGAATGGAGTAGAGGAGTAAAGTAGAGTAGGGTAGAAGAGTAGAGTATAGAATGGAGTAGAGTAGACTACTAGGTAGAGTAGGGTAGAAGAGTAGAGGTAGTAGAGTAGAGTAGAAGAGTAGAGTAGTAGAATAGAGTAGAGTAGAAGAGTAGAGTAGTAGAATAGGATAGAAGAGTAGAGTAGTAGAATAGAAGAGTAGAATGGAGTAGAGTAGAAGAGTAGAATAGGGTACAAAAGTAGAGTAGAGTAGTAGAATAGAGTAGAATACAAGGGTAGGGTGAAAAAGTAGAGTAGAGTAGAAGAGTAGTGTAGAGTAGAAGAGTAGAGTAGAGTTCAGTTTTTTATTGGCCAAATGTGATTGGACCCACAAGGAATTTGTCTCTGGTGCGGAAGCTCTCTGTACATACAAGCAGCAAGTGATAAATCATAATCATAATCATAAAATACCATCATCATAAATCATAAGATGCAACACTCAGTGACGGCCTTAGGATACTCAATAAAAGCCATCAGCCTAAATCATAAGACACAAACAACCAAGTGGTAGTCCTAGGAAGCTAAGGACATGGGTGGTAGGAAAGATGAAAAGATGAGAAGGGTAATAGTAATAGAGCTCTACTAGGTGGTTTGACATCCCAGGACTTAGACAGTGTTGTGGGAAACGGTTGTTTAGCCGAGGGATGGGGGTGGGGGGACAAAACCGTCCTTGTGTCTGCTTTTTTTGGCACGCAATGCCTGCCTAGAGTGTTGTCTTGAGGAAAGTAGTTGAAACATGTCCAGGGCGTGAGGGCCCTGCAGATATTTCCACAGCCTGCAAAGGAAAGGACGGGGCAGCGCTCGTAGGCGGATGCAAGCCAATCTCCCCCCCCACACACACACACACTTCCCCAGGGTTGGCAGGGGACCGCCTCCGAAAGAGCCAGGAGAGGGGGCTGCCTTGGGGGGGCTGGGCACAAGAGTCCCCAGAGCTACCCACAGATGGTGGAGCAGACCCCACCTGGCTTGGGCTGAAGATGCGGATGAGGTCCAGAAGGATTTGGGGAGGAAATGATGCTGTTGGCCGTCCTGAAACCCTCAGGTTGTTTGTTTGCTTGTTTGTTTGTTTATGCCCCGCCTTTATTATTTTTACAAATAATAAATTTTAGATAGGAGGAGGAAGGTGTGTTGTGTCATTTTTACAAATGACTTCCTCCAGCTATCTAAAATGGTGAAATCATGGCAAGTGGACCAACGTTTATTAAAACTGAAGACGTTTCGTTACTCATCCAAGTAACTTCCTTCAGTCAAAATGAACGTTTTGGGTGGGCAGAGAGTTGTGGGAATGAACCCCGATTCTTGCCCTACAGGCTGCAGGGGGTTTCTCCCCAAAATGAAAAGCAGCACCTAAATGAAGGCCAGTTGCCAGGAGTTAACCCGTTTAGATACTTGACCAGCCATCTGTCTGAAGTGGTCTAGGCCAGTGTTTCTCAACCTTGGAAGCTTGAAGATGGGTGGACTCCAACTCCCAGAATCCCCCAGCCAGCGCTGCTGGCTGGGGGATTCTGGGAGTTGAAGTCCACCCATCTTCAAGCTTCCAAGGTTGAGAAACACTGGTCTAGGCTATAGGGCTTCCTGCCTGAGCAGGGGGTTGGACTAGAAGACCTCCAAGGTCCCTTCCAGTGCTGTTATTCTGTATTCTGACCCGGTGAGCCAGAGGTGCAATGCTTTGGGGAAGAAGACCAGCCTTCCTAACCAGTTACGTTGCATCCAGGGAGGAAGGCTAAATGTTGTCTCCGTAGCCAGCAGCCTTGGGGAGGTCTCTCCTCCAGGACCCTAGATGAGCTGTCAGAACGGGTGAGGCCTGTCAGGGCATTTATTAATCCCATGTTTGGCTCTGGGACTAATTACCTGGTTTAAAGGAGGAGATGAATCGAGGCTTATTCCAAGTTGCACTATTCTGATAAAGAAACGCGAAGGAAGGTTTCTAATAAAACTCATTTATTTGTTATAAAGAAAATAAAACACCTCACTAACTAAGAAAAGTTAATTGTTACATTTTTGAAAGTAATTCGGGTCGGCTATCTCTTAGCCGGACCTTGCTGGAAAAAGAACAAAGGAAGAGGAGATGAGAGAGCAAGTGAAGGAATGTGGGTGGATACGGAAACACGTAGCTTACTGATAAGAAGTTGGCAAAGCTACGGAGAGTCTGACAGTCCAGAAATAATGAGCTCAGCTGGTAAATAAAATAACGCAGTGACATTCCCCTTCTTTTGCCAGTTGAGCGAATATCAGTACATCATCAAATAAGGCACATCTTCTCACGCAGATACTCATGTTGAGCTGCTGGAAGTGGTTTGTTGAGCATATCAGCAATTTGATCATGTGTAGATACATATTGCATTTTGACAAAACCTTTTTTCACTAAATGTTTTATGTTTTGGTAACGAATGTCAATGTGTCTGGACCTAGAACCTGTAAAATGAGATTCAGAAATATAAACCACCGATTCATTGTCTTCCATCACGGTGATCGGTCGGATCGGGTGTGTCCAGATATCTGTGACTAAAGCATCAAACCAAGTTAGGGAATTACATGCATCTGAAACACAAGCATATTCAGCCTCAGTAGATGAACAAGAAACAAAATTCTGTTTACGTACTTGCCAATAAACAGGACATCCATTTAAGAACATCATATAACCTGAAGTACTTTTACGTGATTTCTTATCACTTGCCCAATCAGAATCTGCATAACAACTTAATTCTGCATAATCAGTGTGTGTTGGTTCTAACAATAACTTCATGTGTTTAGTGTATTTTAGGTATCTTAGTAATTTCTTAATACATGTCCAGTGAAACTGTTTTGCTTTACCTACGTGTCGTGATAAGAGGTTAACACTAAGTGCAATGTCGGGTCTGGTCCAACTACTAATGTACAATAGTGACCCAATGACTGAACGATAAAGTGTTTGATCCTCGAACTCAGGACTTTCTTCTTGTGTCAAGTTGTGAAAATCTGTTTGCATGGGTGTCTTTGCTGTATTAGCATCTTTCATGTTGCAATGATGCAAAACTTGTTCAATTTTATCTTCTTGTGAAAGACTAAACCCCTTCTGTGTTTTTTCAATCTGAACACCTAAATAAGTGCTAATGTGACCTAATGATTTCAATGTGAAGTATCTCTGCAAAGCTTTGGCAAAAATTTCACTCATTTGCTTATTTGGACCAATATAAACAATATCATCAACATAAACAAGAACTATCTCATATGCATTGTTAGATCTTTTTGTGAACACGCACTCATCAGTTTCGGACTTAATAAAGCCCATTGAATTTAGTTTGTCAGTAAGACATAAATACCACATTAAACCAGATTGTTTCAGACCATAGAGACTTTTGTTTAGGAACCAGGTATCCCCTTCTTGCTGTCGGAATCCTGGAGGACTTCTCACGTAGATCTCTTCGTCTAGGTCTGCATGTAGATAAGCCGTGTCAACATCAAACTGGAAAACTTCTAAACCAAGGATAGTTGCAGTTGCTAAAGCAATTTTTACACTCTCAGTTCTGACTGTCGGTGAGTAAGTATTTGTGTAGTCCTCAGGATAACGTTGAGCGAAACCTGAGCTACAAGTCTGGCCTTGTACAGTGACTCACCATTTGGTTTCTTTTTGATTCTGTAGACCCATCGAGTGCCAATGACCTTTTTGTTTGCTGGAGGTTTTGCAGGTGTAAATACTTTAAGTTTCTTTAGACTGTCCATTTCAACCTGCATTGCTTCATACCATTTGTCTTGCTCTGAATCAGGGAGCTGCTTGATTTGTGTGAAATTATCAGGTGGAAGCGTGACATTGCAAATCAAAGGCAAGGGTGCTTTTGTCAGTTGCCAAGAATATCGTTGTGGAGGGATTCCTTTTGTGGCCCTCTTGGAACGTCTTGGAACAACTGTCCAATCTTCTTCTGCTTCGTCCTCGTCCTCACTTTCGTCGCTAGCGTCAGCATCCGCGGCTTGCGAAGACGGAACATCAAGTTGAGAAGAATCAGTGGAATCTTGATCATCAATCTGCGTGGCATCAGCAGTATCATCTCTGGGAAAATAAACTCCAGGATCATTGGAATGAATCCTGGACCAGTCAATATCTTCTTCAAAATTAGCAGATTGGGAAATCACAATTGCATGTTTAGAGTCAATAAATTTGCTCCACTTTGAATTATCATCAATACCCATAAATCTCAGTCTCTTTGCTGTTGGACTTCCTTTTCTTCTTTGAGCTAAGGGAATGTTCACCATAGCATATGAACCAAAAATATGGATGTTTTTAAGATTGGGCTTGTAGCCATACAACATGAAGAAAGGAGTCTGATTTATTACACTGCTCCAAGTACGGTTGACAATGTAATTTGCATACTTGATAGCTTCACCCCAGTATATCATATCAAGATTGGCGTCTTCTAGGAGACAACGCATCATGGTTTGCAGTACCTCTCCGTTGTGAGCCGATGTGTCAGGGGCTGAAGTCTGATGAATAATTCCATTCTTACGCATCCAGTCCTGGAAACGCTGAGACATGAATTCGACACCACGATCACTCTGGATTCTGGCGATGCGAACTTGGTGTTGGGTAGAAACAAGGGTTGCAAAGTCTTTAAAGATCTGAAAAGTCTCTGATTTTTCTTTCATAGGATATACATATCCATATCTAGAATAATTATCAACAATTGTTAGAAAATATTTTCTACCACCAAATGATGGCGGGAATGGACCAACTATGTCAATGTGAACCAAATCAAAAATGCGTGTTGACAGGCGTGTAGCGTGTTTGGGAATGGCTGCTGCTTTGGATTTGGCCTTCTTGCATACAGCACAATCCAAAAACACCTTACACCCCTTTAGATCCAAACCTTTTGCGAACTCCGGCATCTTCCTAAGAACACGGAAACTGGCATGCCCCAATCTTCTATGCCATTTGTGGATACACCTGGAATGCAAAGGTTTACCAATTAGTGAATTCTCAACATTAACATTTTTATGCGGAACCTCAGGCTTGCTCTGAGCAACCTGTTTACCAATTCTATTTTTGTTGGCTTTAGGAGCCTTAGGGGTAGCAACAGGATCTCTCTCTGGAGCATCTCTATCTGGGCCTGTGCATTCCCTTTTTGGAGTTTGCATATTTGCCTGTGTTTGTGGTTTTAGGCTTTGGCTTTAAGTAATAAACACCACCAATTAATATGGTTTCAGCAACAATATCTCCATCTTTAACTATGTAACTTGCTTTTTCAAGGTGGTGAACTTGGAACTTTAACATTCTAGACAAGTGATACTGACTAAGCAAATTACTGGTTGCTGTTGGTATGTAATAAACATCAGGAATGAATGCATCGAGCTCTTCAACATAAACAGTTCCTTTTCCTTTGACCTGACAAGGATGATTTGAAAAAGAGTAAAGTTCACGTAGTTCTGGTTCAGGCTCGTGCATTTCTGTGAAAAGTTTCTTTCTGTAAGTAACATGCAATGCTGCACCACTGTCCAAAGTCCACAGGAGTTGTCTGTCGTACTCTGGTTGAGGTTGTGGATCATTGGTTAAAGCCAGTGTGGCGAGTGGAGTTTGTGGATCACGCCGGGGACCACGACGACTTGTCTACCGCCTCTGCCTCTGCCTCTGGAATCTGTTCCTTTGGGCTGGTACGTGACGGGAGCTGGAACTCGTTGGGGACAATCCCGGGTGGCATGTCCCACATGATTGCAGGTGTTGCATCTTGGCGTCCTTGGAGCGTAGGTCCTTCCTCGGAAGGGGCGCCTAGCTGGAGCTCTTGATGCGGGTGGTCCTCTCAAGTGTGGCGTGGCCAACATGAATGCCTCTTCTTCAATTAAAAGTCTACAAACATTGTCCACTGTGCGTTGAGCAATTGGGACTTGGTTAATTTTTGTAACAGCATCTTTCCATTCATAATTCAAAGAGTTAATAATGATGCTGATCATTTGAATATCTTCAATGTTATGGCCTCTTTCTCTCAATTCTGTTCTCAGACCTTTCAGTTTGGTCAAATGTCCTCCAATTTGTTCACCAGGTTTCAATCTCGAACCGTGGAATTCAGACATGAGTAAACATGAAGATTCAATTGAGATAGGCCTGTAGCAATTTTCCAATTCAGCCCAAATTTGTCGGGCTGTTGTGTTTGGTGGAAAAGTGACCTGCAGTTCAGTATCCATGGACATCAATAATGTTGTACGAGCCCTTATCTCTAGATCTCGTATTGCAAAGTCCCATGGTTGTGCAGGAGGGTTAAAAACCATAAAATGACTGCCTTCTCTAAGAAGCAATAGTGTAATCTCACTGACCAGGCTTTGTAATTGTGTCCTGACATTTTTAGTTTTGACTCACCAGTTAGTGGAGAGACAGAAAATGCCTGGTGAGGAGCCTGCACTTGGTACGCTGGCTGTGCTGGCAGAAATGCCTGTGGTATTTGCTGTGCCTGTTGTGGACCTAAAAATGGTCTTGGTTGTGCCATTGGAGGTGGGCCAGGAGGTGGCCCTATTTGCACTTGTGGCTGGGGCACATATGCAGGCATTTGTAGCTGCTGTGGCTGATGCACTGGAATCTGCTGTATTCCAGTTGCCATTTGTGCTTGAGCTGCAATATTGGCATGACCTGCTGGAGATGCAATCATTTGCCTTTGCTGTGTTCCATCTAAAAGGACATCAACACCGCCGGGGTGTTTGAGTTTGGGCCTGTGGAAACACTTGTGGCATTTCAGCTTCCTGAAGTAAATTACTTTTGCCAGCAGATGGTGCTGCACCTTTAGCTTTGGGCAGCTTTGCATACGGGGCATTGTATGCTTTAGAGTAGGAGTGGTTATGTAAGACATGTGTAACTTGATCAGGGAGACTTTCATGTGAGGTATGCAGTGCTCTTTGCCTTAATTGGCCTGACACAGAATCCACCAGGGGGAGTGTCTTTGGGCTCTGAGCAAGAAGACAATATGGCGCTTTTTGAAAAATTTAAGTTATCTCCCATATCTTGCTCAAGCATAGATATAGCCATTTTTGCCTGGGATAGCTGCTGTTCATAGAGTTTTATACGGTCACGATAGGCTTTCATAGCTATCTCACGCTGGGTGAGCTCAGGGCTTTGAGAAGAGTAATGAATTGTTTCTCTCTGTGCGTGGGAGTAATTTTGCTCAGCAGTGCTTGCACCGAGCGTTACAAATTCAGAAGGTTCTGGGGAGACTTTTTCAGAGCTTGGAAGACCAGAAGAAAATGTTACTGACCTCAGTCGTAAATCATCATCTTCAAAAACAGCTTCTGTCTTATCTGTCTCCATTTCTGTTCCCACGGCTTTTTCTTGTTCCAGGCGTGTGGCTGTAGTAAGGGGCTGGAAATCTGGAAACCTCCTTTCTGCCACCTTCTCAGCAAAATACATTTTGTATTTGTTTTACTTCCGTTTCGGCATCTCAGCAATATAATTAGCGTACCTCAGTAGCTAAAAACTAATTGCCTATGCGCTCTTATCAGAAGTAACAAAAACAAGGAAAAGCCATAAATCAGACCATCCTCGTGCTACCAGAATGTCAGGGCATTTATTAATCCCATGTTTGGCTCTGGGACTAATTACCCTGGTTTAAAGGAGGAGATGAATCGAGGCTTATTCCAAGTTGCACTATTCTGATAAAGAAACGCGAAGGAAGGTTTCTAATAAAACTCATTTATTTGTTATAAAGAAAATAAAACACCTCACTAACTAAGAAAAGTTAATTGTTACATTTTTGAAAGTAATTCGGGTCGGCTATCTCTTAGCCGGACCTTGCTGGAAAAAGAACAAAGGAAGAGGAGATGAGAGAGCAAGTGAAGGAATGTGGGTGGATACGGAAACACGTAGCTTACTGATAAGAAGTTGGCAAAGCTACGGAGAGTCTGACAGGTCCAGAAATAATGAGCTCAGCTGGTAAATAAAATAACGCAGTGACAAGGCCAGGGACGCTTTGGCAGCTGGGCGTCTGGTGGCCCAGAGCACATTCGGTTCTTCAGGGGGACGTAACCTCTCGGGAGCAGGGAGCTGAACGGAGCACCTTCCCGCCATGCCTTGAAGGGGGAGACAATGCGGCTGCAGCTGCCTTGGAGAGCCCTGAGCTTGGACCACAGAGTTATTTTGTTCCCCTTCGAGGCTTGGGGGGGTGGACAGAGCAGTGTTTGGCAGCCCCTTGTGCCAGACGCCTCATCGGGGGCCTGGTTCTCCGCTTCCTGCTGAAGCTGCTGTGCCCACAGTCGGCCTCTTGTTACCCGGAGCCTTCCTGCTGCTTCCCCCTTTGCCTGCCACCCCAGGGCTCTGCTGTCACTGTGTCTCAAGCCATGCTTCCCGCAGGCTGACAGGTTTCAGCGCTCACCCGCCTTCCTCTGGACCCACAAACACACACACACACACACACAGGGCTGTCCTGCTTGCACAAGCCCTGGCCTGCAGCCTGCCTCCTCTCTCGCGGGGTCTTGGTTTGGCAGCTGGAGCTCTGCAGCCGTGGGGGTGGGCAATAGGCAGGAAAAGGGCTCTCGGCTGGCGTCTAAAGCTCCTTTCCCCTCCCCAAACATCCTTCACTGAGATGGGAGCTGACCAAGCCCATTCCCTTGCGGTCAGAAATGTGCAAGAACGGATGTTGCCCAACTTCAGGCTGTTTTTGCATTCCCTGCAGCTGGCATGTGTGGAGTGGGCTGACTCAGCCTTGCCAACCCCCTCCTCAGCTCCTGCTTCATCTCCCGAGTCTCCAAAAGAAGCCTCTTGCGTCCCTCCGGCCACCAAGCCGGCATGGTCAAAGAAGAGGCTAGTTTTCCCCAACAGTCTCCCCATCTTGGGAACATCTGGCTGCTCTCCAAAGGCCACAGCGGGTCTTGGAGGGGAGAGGAGACTGGAACCATAGAGTCACAGGGCTGGAAGGGACCTGGCCCAACCCTTAGGCAAGCAGGAGGCTCTCAACCAGGGTCCTCCCCCCCAACTCTTATCCCACCATTCCTCCACCGCTTCCTGCAAGGGTGGGGAACCAGTGGCTCTTCCGCGGGGGCCCCCAGGGTCCCTCCCAGTGATGGTGGCCCCCGGGACTGTGCAGAACTACAGGCAGCCTCCCGATTGTTTTCCCTTTCAGACTGGGATAATGCCCACCCCTCCCCCTTCCCCAGGAAAGAGTCCCTTTGGGATTCAGGTGGATTTGGGGAAGGAAGGTCTCTTAACAGCAAATACAGGTAGGCCTCGATTTACAAGCACAATAGAGTCCAAAATTTACGTTGCTATGTGAGGCATTTAAGTGAATTTTGCCCCATTTTATGACCTTTCTTGCCACCGTTGTTAAGTGAATCACTCCAGTTGTCCAGTTGGTACCACGGTTGTTGAGTGAATCTGGCTTCCCAGTTGACTTTCCATGTCAGAAGGTTGTAAGAGGGGATCACGTATCACTCCAGGACACTGAAACCGTCATAAGTATGAGTCAGTTGCCAAGGGTCTGAATTTTGATCACGTGACCAAGGGGAGGCTGCAATGGCCGTAAGTGTGAAAACTGGTCGTAGGTCACTTTTTTCAGTGATGTAACTTTGAACGGTCACTAAATGAAGTGTTGTAAGTCAAGGACCACCTGCAAAGAGGTTTGTTTGTCTGCTGCCGGAGGTTGTTTTGGGACCAGCCTGCCCTTATCTGGAGTCGAAAGGGAGGCCGGAGAGCGGGGTTTGAGGGCCTTCCCTGGACCCCACTGAGAAGGGGGTCAAAGGGGAAGGGAGGCAAAGGGCTCCTTTCCTTCTCGGCCGCTTCCCGCTTGGCATTTGTGGTCACTTTTGCAACCAGAGCAAGTTCTTGCATGGAAGCCTTTGGCAGCCTGTCTGAGAAGTGGAACCTCTGCCCTCGGAAGGGAGTTTCTATTTCTACCATGTTTTCCCCAAAATAAGACCCTGTCTTGTAATAAAACCCGATTGGGCTTATTATCTGGGGGGGGTCTTATTTTCAGGGAAACAGGGTATTTGTATTTGTGTTCAATATTGAGAGAGAGAGAGAGAGAGATACAGACATACAACTGCAACGGTCGTAAGTGTGAAATACAGTCATAAGTTCCTTTTTTCAGTGGTGTTGTAACTTCGAATGGTCACTAAATGAACTGTTGTAAGTGCAGGACTCCCTGTACGACAATCTGTAGTTCTTTTGTTGTGTATTTATGTGAAGGAATCATGAAGTCCTAGAAATCTAGGACTGGAAGGGACCTTGGAGGTCGTCTAGTCTAACCCCAGATCAGGGCAGGCCTCCTCGAAGCATTTCAGGCCTGTGGCTCTTCAATCTTCGCTGGAAAACCTCCAGCAATGGACACACACACACACGCACACACACACACAACTCCAGGAGGCCACGAGTTGCATTTTTAATCCCTTGTTGAGAGAGATTTTCCAGGAAAGGGTACGTCAATCGTCTCCTGAGAATGAGGGAAGCATTTTTCTAAAGCTGGATCCCTCCCTGGACTTAACTGGGGTTGGGGGCAGGTGGGCCTCAGCTCCTCTGAGGTTACACCTGAGAGAAGCCTGTCAATCACAGAACATCAGCACCATGTATATTTATTTTTGCGCGATTCCCAACAGAAGGTCCTTCGATCCTTTGGGCCAGCTTGCATACATAAACTGAGAAAAAAACCCTCAGAAAAGTCAAACTAAAAAGCGGAGAGAAGATTTATTTATTCATTGATCCCATTTAGAAATCGCCCTTCTCCCTCACAGATTCTGGATGCTGCTTTGATGTTTGCAGGAGGCCTCCCTCTTCTGCCCCCCCTCACTAATTGCAAATGGGGAGGGGCTTATTTTGCTGCCCCCCCAGGACAGCGTGGTGAGGGGAGGGCAGAATGAAGGAACTGGGAGAGGAAACTGAATCAATAAAGGGGAATCAGGGTTGACATGAGGGGTCCTTGGTGCTCTGAGCTTGATTTTCTTGCAGACGTCTCATGACCCATCTAGGTAACCTCATCAGGGTAGTAAGGAGTGTGGAGTTTGCTGTCAGGAGGCAGCTGTGCGAACTGGGAGCCCTCCTGGTCTTTGAGAATTGGGCCTGCCCCTCCTCCCCCCTCACCATCTGCAGAATGTAGGGCAGAGCTGGTGGGCAGGACGACCCCGCCTGGAGACCCCCCTAGTCAATGGGGCGGAAGGTGAGCCGAGGGGGTTTCTCCGGCTTCAGAATGAAGCTGTAGATGGTCCGGATGTCCTCCTTGGAGACGGTGTCAATCTTGAAGTTCTTCAAGATCTGAAAGAGCCCCACAATGGCCATGAGGAAGAGAGACCCCCAGGAAGGGCCCTTGGCCCATCGGGGCCCTTCCCTGCCACCCCCCGCGCACACCCAGCCCTTTGCATTCAATGGGCTCTACTCCCCATAATCCCCAAGTCAGCTCACTGGCCATCTAGCAAAGCATACGCCCTGGCCCCATTCTACAGGTAGTCCTCAACATATGATCACGGTCACCCAACATTTCCGTTGCTAAGCAAGACAGTTGTTAAGTGAGTTTTGCTCCCTTTTACGACCTTTTTGCCACATTTGTGAAGTGAATCACCGCACTGGTGAAGTTAGTAACCCGGTCGTTAAGCGAATCTGGCTTCCCCATTGACTTTGCTCATCAGGTCACAAAAGGGGATCGCGTGACCCCCGGGACACGGTGACCATCATAATATGAGTCAGTAGCCAAGCATTTGAATTTTGATTAGGGGACCGTGGGGATGAGGTCGTAAGTGTGAAAAACGGTCCCACAGTCCCTTTTCTCAGGGCCGTAGTATCTTCGCGGGGTCACGACGGAGTAGTCAGACGTCTGGGCGCCCCGCCTCCCCCTCCGCCCAGCGGGACTCACGTGCATGAGGAAGAGCGCCATTTCGGCCTCTGCCAGCCTCCGGCCGATGCACTGGCGTGAGCCGAAGCCAAAGGCCAGCGCCTTGAAGCTGTTGTCCTCCTTGCCCAGCCAGCGGGAGGGTTTGTACTGCTCGGGCTCCGCGAAGACCGCCGGGCTCCGGCCCATGGAGTAGAGCCCCACCTGGCACAGAGTCTGGGGGCAGGAAAGGAGGCACTCCTGAGGGGGCAGCCGGTGGCCCTCCTGCCACGCAACTCCCGGGGCTCTCCTGTTGCACCCCAACCTCCATCGGTCCCAAGCCCCCCGTGATCTTTAGAGCCAATTCTTCACCACCAGTCTACATCTCCTGACACTTACGACCACCATTGAGCCCAAAATGTCTCCATGAACAACTACAATTGAGCCCGAAATTTCTGTCGCCAAGCGAAACATTTGTTCAGTGAGCCCCATTGTACAGCCTTTCGTGCCACAGTTGTTAAGTAGTCACGTGGTTGTTAAGTGAATCTGGACCTGGCTTGTCAGAAGGTCGCAAACAGGGATCACGTGACCCCAGGACATTGCGACTGTCATAGGTATGAGCCAGTTGACAAGGGTCTGATGCTGCAACGGTCATAAAAAGGGGATTCCATGACCCCTGGACACTGTAACCGTCACATCTATGAGTCAGTTCCCACGCATCTGAATCCTGATCATGTGACCCTGGGCATGAGGTCATAAGGGTGAAAAATGGCCCTAAGTCACTTTTTAAAATGCTGTTGTAACTATGAATGGTTACTAAGTGAGCTGTTGTAAGTCGAGGACTACTTGCAGCCACTGATGGTAACCAGAAGAGGGGAAAGGAAGAGCAGCCTGAAGAGGAGCCGGCCTCCCACAAGCGTCATCCATGAAAAGGCCATGGAGAGCCAAAAGACAGGGGGGAGGGGCGTGGGGGGGTCAGATGGGGTCTCCTGCTCCCTAGAAGGGGCTTTTACAGGCGTTTGGACCTCGGACCTTTGGCAGGCAAATCCTGGGCTCCAGTTGGCAGCCCTGAGTGAGCGAGAGGCTCTGAGAATGGCAGGAATCTGTCAGGTCAAGCGAGGGATGTGTCAGCCCCCGCTTGGGGAGGGGGCAGCGAGGGGACACACAGGCCCTTTGGCCACCGAGCACTTACACCAGCCGGCACGCAATAGTTCTGGAGCACCACGTCTCGCAGAGGGTAGCGCTGGATGGTAATGCCCACAGGGTAGAGCCTGGAAGAGAAGAAGGGGGGGGGAAGGGTGGCCGTTGCTTCCCCTCAGCTCTCCCGCGTGGAGACGGTCGACGTCTCTTTTCCTGGCTCCGATGATGGAGGTTGCGGTTAAAAGCAGCAGGCCAGAAACCAGGAGGCTGTGAATTCTAGTTCTGCCTTAGGCATGGAGACAGCTGGCTGACCTTGGGCAGTCCCCCTCTCTCACCTCCAGGAAAAAGAGACGAGCAACCCACTCCTGAAAAAACGTTGGCCATATAGTTGAGGGGAGCCAAGGCTGAAAGCCACATCCCAAAGTGCTTCATACTTGGAGGAAGGTGGTCATTTCTCACCGTTAATTGTTCTTACTAGATTTTTATACAGTCACTATTTTATACTGTAAATAATTTAAGGTGGTGAAAGTATACAATATTCCTTCCTCCCCTTATTCTCCCCACAACAACCCTGTGAGGTGGGTTGGGCTGAAACAGAGTGACTACTAGCCCAAAGTCATTCAGCTGGCTTTAATGCCTAAAGGCAAGACTAGAACTCACCATCACCTGACGATGGGCTCAAATTCACCCAGTTGGCGCATGTGCCTAAGGCGGGACTAGAACTCAGAGTCTCCTGGTTTCTAGGCCACCACCTTAACCAGGGCTGCTCCCCATAGGCATTCAGAAACCCATGTTTCTGAACCCCAACCCCGCCCACTGCCCCCCCTTTACCTCAGCGTTTCCTTCAGGGCCCCCTTGAGCAGCGGCAACGCGTTCAGCACCTTGGAGAGCTCCTTGGATCCCTGCGCCTGGGCTTCCCTGATCTCCTCCCGGATGGCCGTCTGGACCTGGGGGTTGCGGGCCAGCTCAAAGAGGGTGAAGAGCAGGGGCATGGCTGTCTGCGGGGGAGACGGGGAGGGGGCCAGGAGGGGGGGAGAGGGTGGGTGGGTGGATGGATGGATGGATGGATGGATGGATGGATGAGGCAGGGGAGAGGAGGGCAGGGAAGGAGAGAGGAGAGGGAGAAATTGTTCAGAATCTCACGCAGGAACAACCAACCCCATACTGTCCTGTGGTGACCTGCCTTTCAACTTTTAAGCCAATGTTATTACCCTCAGCTGGAACCTGGTTTGGACCTGCCTCTCTCTGCCTGGATGAAACTGAACAAAATTAGGTGTGACACTGGAAGGAGTGCCGTTGCCCTCTCCTCAGTCGACGTGCAAGGATTCCACTTTTTGCAATTGTGGTGCTCGTATGCAAACTATTGAACGTATTGTGCAAGGTTGCCCACATCATGAATCCTCTGGTTCCCTAGAAGACCTGCACAAAGCAAGGCCAGAGGCGAGATCGCCTGGATAGCTGATCTGGACATCCAGTTATGAGGATGCCACTGCCAGAATCCCCATCTAGGTTTTGGATATGATTACTTGGGTTGTGGGCATGTGTTTACTTCTCTTCTGTCATGTTCTCATCATTCGCCAAACGAAGAAATAATCGCCCTCCTGGCTTTTCCTGAGGCCAGTTGTCACTTCAGGGATGTTCCGTACCCTACAGAGCCACTCAGACAAGCAGCCTTTCCGAAGACCTTTTGAACCCTTTTCCCGGTGCCTGGGGCATCTATGCCCAACTTCAGAAAGCAGCTCCTGGGGAACATGGCAACCTCTGCGCTCTTGGCCAACCTCTTTCTTTAGCTTGGTGGCTTAAGAACTTTCGGGGAGGCTGGCATTAGAAACCAGTTTAAAGACTGAATGGTTTTATTGCAACCAGCAGAAGCTGCATCACAAATAATTGTTCTCAGCTGCTAGCAAAGTTGTGTTGCAAATCAGCCCAAGAATGAAGTGGAAGATCCCACACTAAAGATAAA